CTCCAGGCCCCACCCACCTCCCTCAGACCCCACCCGCTCCAGCACCGGGCCCCGCCCATCTCCCGCAGGCCCCGCCCCCACCTCGCTCCAGGTCCCGCCCCTCTCCGAACACCAGCGGGAGGCGGGGCTCATGGCTGCGCGCCGGGGGTCTCACGGGCGGTCTTTCCTGCGATCTCCTACTCCCGGTGCCCCAGCCACAGCCAGGGGAGGCGGGAGCTGCAGAGGGAGGGAACGGGGAGACGGAGGCTGAGCGGAGCGGCGCGGGCCGCGGCGGGGGCCCGGCCCGGCTCTGCCCGCGCCTCCCCGTCAGTGCACTTGCCTCGGTCCCCGGGCTCGGCTTCCCCGCAGGTCCTGATGCGCCACCGACACTGCGTCCCGCCAAAAAGTCACTTCGGGGGGTCTTGGCTCGCAAGTAGAGCGCTTGTCCAGCAGAGTACGCCGAGTCCTAGGTTCGAACCCCAACGGGGCAAAAGGAAAAAAAAAAAAAAAAAAAAAAGGAGGAAAAGTAACTTCGCCACTTCTTCCGGCAACCCCGCCGAGCGTCAGTTCCGGAAGGGGGCGGGTCGTGAGACGTGACGGACTTCCGGTCCGCCTGGGCGCCGCGGACGGCCCCTCCCGGAAGTGGTGCGCCCGCCGGAAGCCGGTGCGGCCGGCGACCCTGGAGCGGCGTTGCGCTCCCCGGGCTTCAGCCTGGTGCTGAGCCGTGGGCCGGCCCCCCCCTAGCCCCCCCCCGATCCCTCCCGAGACCCCTGAGGCTCGTCCGCCGTCCGTGCACTCCCCGGGGCTCGCGGCCAGAGATTTACTCAGGAAAACCTTCTCACCCTGGAGGCTTTCCCCACGGCACCGTTTTGGAAGTTGATTTCCGTCTTTGTTTTCTGTCTTTTGCATGTTGGTTTTAGGTTCTAGCCAAGTTAAATGACACGTATGGGGCACGATTTTTTTTTTTTTTTTTTTGTAATCCTAGGGATTGAATCTGGGGCCTTGAGCATAGTGTCCGAATACTGGCGCAGATAGGTGAAAATTTGTCCAAAATCCCCCCCACTTCAATAATCTGGTGTTCGTCAGCGTATGTGCATGCTTTTGATTGGTCGATTGGTTAATTTTTTTTTTTCACGGTTGAAAATTGGACCCACCGGACCCTTCTCAGATTAGACAAATGCACTACCGTTGAGCCCATGCGGACTATTTTTTTCCAAAGGTGCGTGAGACTTTATGAGACAGGGTCTCGCATGGCAGCCCAAGCGGCCTGGAACTCGATCCTCCGGCTTCAGCTTTCCTGAGTGCTGGGATTACAGCTGTGCACCACCTAGCTGAGCATTCACCAAAAACCATCCCGTGTCCTTGGGTGCATAAATAGACTACATTTCTCAGAGGAGTGTGTAGCTAGGTACGATCACGATCGCGTGACTAGGTTCCCGCCAATGAGAATGCAGCAAAAGTAACGCCCTGAGAGAGGGGTCTGTGCGGGTTACTGTGTTGTGAACTCAAGATCTGAGTTCAAATCCCCACTAAGGCTTGCCTGGGGGTGGGGGTGGTGTCAGGGGTTGAGCATTGCCTATCAAGTGAGTCGTAGAGGCTGCTTGTTTAATCATCATTAACGAGGGGAGGAAATCACCAAGTATCCTGGGATGCTGGTAACACATAGACAATAGTCCTTTTTTTTTTTTTTTTTTGTCGGTCGTGGGGCTTGAACTCTGGGCCTGAGCGCTGTCCCTCAGCTCTTCAGCTCAAGGCGAGCGCTCTACCACTTGAGCTACAGCGCCACTTCCGGTTTTCTGGTGGTTTATTGGAGATAGGAGTCACACGGTCTCTCCTGCCCGGGCTGGCTTTGAACCGCGATCCTCAGATCTCAGCCTCCTGAGTAGCTAGGATTACAGGCGTGAGCCACCAGCGCCCCGGCTAGACAATAGTCCTTTTTAATTAAAACTAAAAATCGGGGTTTTGGAGTCTTGGCTCAGTAGATTGAGCTCCAGCCAATGAGTGTCAGGCATCGAGTTTGAGTGTTGATGTCAGCCAATAAAAAGAAAAGAGAGTTAAAGTTGGCTGAAAGAAACACATGAGGAAATGTTCACCATCCCTGGTTGTAAAGGAAATGCAAATAAAGACAACCCTGAGATACCACCTTACCCCAGTCAGAATGGCCCACATCCTAAGGTCAGCCAATGACAAATCCTGGAGGGGATGCAGAGAAAGAAGAACCCTATTTCACTGCTGGTGGGAATGTACACTTACACAACCACTTTGGAAAGCAGTATGGAGGGTTCTCAGAAAGCTAAATACTGACCTCCTCTATGACCCAGCCATACCACTCCTAGGCATCTACCCTGAACAACAGGAACCAGGATACAAAGACACATGCATCTCGATGTTTATTGCAGCTCTGTTTACAATAGCCAGGATATATAAACAATCCAGATGCCCCATCACAAATGAATGGATCCAAAAATTGTGGTATCTATACACAAAGGAATATTATGCATCCACTAGAAAGGACAAAATAATGGCATTTGCAGGGAAATGGAACTAGAGGAAATCATGTTGAGTGAGGTAAGCCAAGAGCAAAGAGACAAATGGCACATGGTCTCCCTGATAAGCAGATATTAAATCTAAAAGGTAAGGTGATACAACAAAGTTAACAAGACTTGAGAAACAAAGGACCTCCAGTCATGTTTGAATCATGACCAAATAACCCCATGCTTCTGATCACAAATATGGTATATATGTGCACAATGGAGGGAAACTAGGAGGAGGACACAGAACTAAAGGGAATCAGGAAAAACACACAACAGTGGGACCCATCAGCTGCACTGGACATTGATCAGAATGAACTAAGCAACTCAATGGCAGTGATGGGAGGGAGGGAACGAGTGGGAAAGAGGGAACAGCTGACACTATGCAAAAGGAAAGAAATGTACACATCACCCAATGTGGAAGAAATAACTATTGTTAAAGCTCATAGAACTCATAAATGTTATAGACCACAATAGACCATTTGCCATATGAAAGTTAGGATGTGTTTGTGACTTTAAGCATCACTATCCCACAACACTGTGAAATTTTTGAAATTATGTAATCACTTAATCACAATAAAGAATTTGCAAAAAAAATTAAGTTGCTCAGTTGGAAAACATCTTTTTAAAAAATTGTTGGGCTGGGAATGTGGCTTTGAGGTAGAGTGCTTACCTCACGCGCATGAAACCCTAGGTTCGATTCCTCAGCACCACATACACAGAAAAAGCTGGAAGTGGTGCTGTGGCTCAAGTGGTGTCGTGCTAGCCTTGAGCAAAAGCAGCTCAGGGACAGTGCCCAGGCCCTGAGTTCAAGCCCCAGAACTGACACCAATAAATAAATAAATAAATTTTTAAAAATTTAATCACATCGTGAGGCCACCGGGGACATGGAGAACCAGAAAAGTCAGGCCGGCACCCTCTTGTCGTCGTTGGGCTGATGGTGGAGGCGAACCCATCCCTAGCGATCAGGCCGAGGGCGGCTGTGTCCTGGTCCGTGTCTCTCCCCCACCCCCCACTCCCCCACAGCCTGGCTGAGGCGAGCACCCTGGTTGATGCTTGGAGCGACCCGCGGGAGCGCGGGCCCACACCGCCCCCTGGTGTCTATCCGGGGTTGTGCAGGCAGGAGCGACCCAGAGGGTTCTAGCTGCTGGGGTGGGGTGTGGGGGTCACCGAGGGACAGGTAGGGGGTGGGGACGATGCCCAGAGCCGCCTTCATGGAGTACCTGCCAGAAGGACACCACAGGAGACAGGAAAGACCCCACTCAGAGGCCAGCGGGAAGCAGAGACCCAAGGGGAAAACTTAATGACAGCTGTCGATGAATCCAGAGCCTGTGGTGGCTATCTGGGGCTCTTGATTGTCTTTAAGGACAGCTGAGGAAAGAAAAAGGCTGACAAATCCTGTGGACCCTAGGGGTCCACTCCTGACACCACCAGACGGAAGGCAATCCCACCAACACCGGCTTGACTCATTATTGACTTTGACTGTGTTTTGTTTAGATGATCTAAATTGCTTTAAACCTACAGGAAGAAAGAGGTTTTGTGCAATTACTATGGTGTACCTCCACATAGCAGAAGACAACTGTAACAAAAATACTCTGGAAGCCAGGCCCCAGACTCACTCCTGTCATCCTAGCTACTCAGGAAGCTGAGAGCTGAGGCTGCTAGTTCAAAGCCAGCCCCGGCAGGAAAACCTGTAAGACTCTTAACTCCAGTGAACCAGCAGAAAAGCCAAAATTGGAGCTATTGCGAGTGGAGCCTTGAGAGGAAAAGGTGAGTGAGAGTGTGAGGTTCTGAGATCAACTGTCACCCCCCCCCCAAGCCCCCTACCCCCCCCCCCCAGACACACAGTCCGAGACATGGCTGGGCCTCATAGCAAGATCTTGTCTGAAAACAACAACACAAAACCCAGAAAGCAAAACCATCAAGCAACAACAGGAAATCTCGGGGGGGGGGGTTCCTAAGACCGGCAGACATGCCAACATGCAAGGCCAGGTGTCTGGTGTGGTTATTTCCTTTCCTCTCCAGACTTTCACAAACCCCAGCTTGCCTGCCTGCCTTCCTCTTTTTCTTTCTTTCTTCTGTTCTTGTGGTTGAACTCAAATACTCGGGCTAGCTAGGAAAAGAAACTACCCCTAAGCCCCCTCTACAGTCCCTTTGCTTTTAGGGTGGGTTTTTGTTTTGTTTTGGTCATTTGTTTGTTTTCCAGATAGGCTCTCTCCCTGACTTTGCCCAGACTGGCCTCAAACAGTAATCCTCTTGCCTCTGCCTCCCAAGTAGCTCACATGAGTCTGGTACCACTCCACCTGGCCAGCCTCTGCCTTTGAAGAGGCCCAAGAAAACACTTGTGGTTAATGAGTCTCAGAAAACTGAAGTGAAACTTCAAATTAAAAGTGGCAGAGCCTCCTTTTGTAGAGGTTCAAAGAAGGTGGGGGACTGGGGGTGCAGCGAGGGTTGAAGAGGTCCCAGCCCTGCCTCTCTAAGGGAAGTGACCCTCCAGGACATGGGGGAACGGCTTCTGGCTGTCCATTAAAAGTGCTCAGCGCAAAATCTGTAAACACCATTCTCTCAGAGGCTCTGGTCATCTCTGAAACCTGCTAGTGGGGTGCAAAGAGAGCAGAGCCTCAGGGTAAAGAAGGGAAGCCACAGGCACACAAGGGCCACTCCCAGACCCCCAGAGATGTCACCATTGCTGCTGCTGTCACCACTCCTGCTGCTGCTGAACTTGGATCCCACACAGGCCTCGCTGATCCGGTATGGTGACCCCTACCCCCAACATAACAGATCCTAAGACCCTTTCCCCCATAGTAGGCTGGGAAAGGTAGTACGTACCTGTAATCCCAGAGACTGGATTACAGGCAACTTTGAACTGGAGGCAGCAAGATCTTGAGTTCAAGCCTAACTAGGGTAAAGTTAGCAAGAACCTGTATCAAAAAAAAAAAAAGTGGGGGAAGTAAAACCACCTGGACACAGTGGCTCAGACCTGTCATTCTAGCTACTTGGGAGGCTGAGGTCAGGAGAATCTCAAATGGAGGCAAGCTAGCTAGATCCCATCTTAACTAATCAACTGGGTGCAGTGATGCCTATCATCCCAGCTAAGATGAGGAGTGTTAACATGACTTTGCCCACATTTACGTGGGCAAACATCAAAGATCCTACTTTTTAAAGTGACAGTAAATGGCAATACCAATGGCTCAAGCCTATAATCCTAGCTACTCAGGAGGATGAGATATGAGGATCACAGGTTGAAGCCAGCCAGAGCAGGAAAGTCTGTGAGATGCTTATTTCCAATTGACCACCAGAAAACCAGAAGTGGAGCTGTGGCTCCAAGTGGTAGAGTACTAACCTTGAGCACAAAAGCTCAAGCACAGTGCCCAGGCCCTGAGTTCAAACCCAATGACCTCCAACAACAAAAAGACAGTAAAAAGGACTGAGGGCCATGTTCAACTGGTAAAGCACCTGCCTGGCATGCTGGCGACCCTGTTTCAATCGTCATAACCACAGTAGGCAAAGAAAAAGTTTTGAGAACCACCCCCTCTTGCTCTGGGTGCCTCCCCCAATCTCTCCCCTCCTCTTCCTCATTTCTCAGCTCTTGAATGGAAGGGGGGAGCTTACTGGGAAACTGGTAAATGTGTCCACATTTCATTTCTGGCCTCTCCAGACCACATCCTGGGTTGGGGAAGGGTGCCAAGCCTGCAGGGCAGGTACAAAATACTCCTGGCATGAGATGTTTGCTAATCAACCTTTTGAACCCAATCCACTGTGGCCATTTCCTCAATAAAGGGAAGAACAGAGTGTTTTAGAATGTCTGAGGCTGGCACTTGCCAGCCCCTCATCCCACCTGCCCACTAGGAAGTTCAGAGGTTTGAGTTTGTACAGCTCTCTGGACCAGGGTTGGCAAACACTCAGCTCAAGGGTCCAGTCCTGCCCAACCTCCATTTGCATGTGCCTGCCCCTTCATTTGAATACACCTGCCCTCATTTGCATAGGCCTGCCCTTTCATTTGCATGCATCCCCTAGTGGCTTGCTGCTCAGGGGACAGTTAACTTGTCACCAATGTGGAATCTTCACAAGGAATTTGGTACAACATCCTCTGTTTCAGGTTCAGGTGGTTTTACTCATACTGTGCCAATACTGGGACTTGAACTCAGGGCTTGAGCACTGATCCTCAGCTTTTACACTGAAGGCTGGTGTTATTCTACCACCTGAGCCACACCAGAGTTTGTTTTCACACACATACATATATGTAGATGCTGTTCTTGTTTGGAGACTTGGGCCTAGGCACTGTCCCGGAGCATTTCAGCTCAAGGATGAGCACTCTACCTCTTGAGCCACAGTACCACTTCCAGCTTTTTCTGTGTATGTGGTACTGAGGAATTGAACCCAGGGCTTCATGCTTGCTAGACAAGCACTCTACCACTAAACCCATTCCCAGCCTTGGTTTGTCTTTTATTTATAGGTGTGGAGGGGTGGTGTGTAGAGAAGTTAGAAACTTTCACATCTCACTTGTTGGTATTTTTCTCTTGGAAAAACTTGCTTTCTTTCCGAGTTATTGACAGACACATTTTCCTGGCTCCCAGAGATCCTATGATTTCAGAATCTTGATGTGGAGTCCTCGGGTGTCCAGTGGGAGCGGTGTCTTGGCACACCCACTGCTTTCCAAGTGGAGGGGAAAGGAGCCCCACCATGCGAAGCAGAGCCTAGAAGGTTCTTCAGCCTAGAGTTGTCATCAGGACTGGACTAGGGAGCACCTTGGGAATTCCTTGGGAATAGCTTAGGGGGGGATGAATTTGGTATGGGGGGGAGGTTGCTCCTCTGAATCTTGGGGATTCCTGTCTTCAGAATTAATTAAACATAGATGGACATTAAGCGGAAGGTTGTTACAGCGGCCTTCTGGGCAATGTCAGCCAAGGGGGGGTGGGGGCTGCTACCTTGCCTGGCTGGGCCATCTTCTGCCGAGGGTCCCCAGGAAGGGTAAGGCTCCTCGCTCTCAACTTGCTCTTTCCTTCCAGGGTCCCTCTTCGCAGAATGCCTCCTGGACCCAGGACCCTGAACCCACCCAGAGCCTGGGGCTGGGCAGCGGCGGCCCTGGGGCTGGGGGGCCCGGCCCCTAGGGACAAGCCCACCTTGGTGTCTCTCTCCAACTACATGAACGTGAGCCGCAGCGCCGCAGCCCCCGACCCCTAGGCCCGCAGGTCACACTTGCCCTTCACCCCGCATCCTCTTGTGCCACAGGCCCAGTACTTCGGGGAGATCGGGCTGGGGACGCCCCCACAAAACTTCTCTGTGGTCTTCGACACCGGCTCCTCGAACTTCTGGGTCCCGTCCAGGACCTGCTCTTTCTTCAGCCTGCCCTGCTGTGAGCCAGGGGCGCAGGCCCGATGGGGGGGACGGAGCGGGTACCAGCCTGAGCTCACCGATGACCTCTCAGGAGGCCTGGGGGTGGGGAGGCTTCAGTCCCCGGTCACACCCCCGGGATCTGATTTAGGGTTCCACCGCCGATTCGATGCCAAAGCCTCCAGCTCCTTCCGGCCCAATGGGACCAAGTTTGCCATTCAGTATGGGACGGGGCGGCTGGACGGGATCCTGAGTGAGGACAAGCTGACTGTGCGTTCCTCCAAGCCCCTAAACCCGGGAATTGAGGCGACCTCTAAAGTCTGGGAGCCTCTGGTGCAGGGGGCGGGGCCGCTGTGAAAGGGGCGGGGCTTCACCGTGATGGGCAGGGCCACCTGTAGCAGAGGGGGGCTGTCAAGGGTGGAGCTTCAGGGGGCGGGGCCACTTGAGTGCTGGGCGTGGCCAACAAGAAGGCAGGCTTCCTTGATAGGGGGCGTGGCTTCTCTGGCAGCCAGACATTTTCCTAGGTAGGTGAGGCCTGTGGCAGAAGCCTCCAAACCTTTCTTTTGCGCCTTAATTCGGGGCTTCTCAGGAAAATGTGAGAAGTGTTCTCTCAGCAGCCACTGTGGGTTTTTCCCCCCTTCTGCCTTCCTCTAGATTGGGGGGATCGCAGGAGCATCGGTGACTTTTGGAGAGGCTCTGTGGCAACCCAGTATCGTCTTCACTTTGGGCCACTTTGATGGGATTCTGGGCCTCGGTTTCCCCAGTCTGGCGGTTGGAGGAGTTCAACCCCCACTGGACGCTCTGGTGAAGCAAGGGCTCCTGAAGAAGCCAGTCTTCTCCTTTTACCTCAACAGGTACTGGGGCGGGGGTGGGGTGTCCCCTACAGTGGGCTCCAGGAAGGAAGAGCTGTCCCCTACTGGAAATCTTACCCAGTGCAGGAAGCCCCACCTCCAGTCAGGAAAACGACATACAGGAAGTTTCCATATCCATTCAAGAAACCACTTACCCAAGGTAAATACACCTGACCTCCTTTAGAAGGTCCCCAGGGCTGCCAACTCAGGACATACTAAAGGACACTACGGTTCAAAGTCAGACAGGAAAACACAGTCAAGTCCTCCTCTTAGAACTCCTCTCTTGAGCTAGGCACCCGTGGCTCTTGCCTATAATCCTAGCTATTTAGGAAGCTGAGATCTGAGGATCAAGGTTCAAAGCCAGCCTGGGCAGGAAAGTCCTAGAGACTCTTATCCCCAATAAACTACACAGAAAACACTGGAAGTGGTACTGTGGCTCAAATAGCTGAATGCCATCTTTGAGTGCAAAAACTAAGATAGTTCCCAGGCCCTGAGTTCAAGCCCCAGGTCCAGAGAGGAGGAGGAGGAGCAGGAGGAGCAGGAGGAGGAGGAGGAGAGGGGAAGGAGGAAGGGAGGAGGGGGAGGAGGAGGAGGAGGGGGCGAGGGAGGAGGAGGAGGTTAATTTCTCTTCTCTCCATTCCTCCTTTCAGGCCCATCTAGGCCCAGAACTACCCCATTACCCCATCTAGGACCCAGAACAACCAGTGGGCATGACGTCCCATCCCTGGGTCCTCTTGGGAGGGAAAGGAGAAATGCTGGTGACATCACAGTTTCCTGTCCTTTCAGGGACCCTGAAGGGGAAGATGGAGGAGAACTGGTCCTGGGGGGCTCAGACCCAGATCACTACGTCCCACCCCTCACCTTCATACCTATCACGAAGCCCACTTACTGGCAGATCCGCATGCAGCGGTGAGCACCTTGGCCTCCTGATCTGGAGCTGGGGGGCTGGAGCTCTAGGACCCTGCCTCTAACGAGAGTCCCTTCTCCTCCTCAGTGTGCAGGTGGGCACAGGGCTGACTCTGTGTGCCCAGGGCTGTGCTGCCATCCTGGACACAGGAACCTCCCTCATCACAGGGCCCAGTGAGGAGATCCACACCCTGCATGCCACCATTGGGGGATTTCCTCTCTTCACAGGGCAGGTTAGGACCAGCTGTGGTGGGCGTGGGATGGGAGAAGCTGATGGCAGTCACAGGACAGGATGTAGGGGCTTGAGGGTGGAAAGCAAGTAGCTGGTGGGTGTCTGAAGAGAGGATAGATCTGTGAGGATAATAAGAGGAAGCAAGGACACATCCCAGGATCTGTGCTGAGTGACTTGGGAGTAGTGATGGGAGAGGGTTGGTTAAGAATGAAGGCTCTGCCGGGCGCTAGTGGCTCACGCCTGTAATCCTAGCTACTCAGGAGGCTGAGATCTGAGGATCGCAGTTCAAAGCCAGCCCGGGCAGGAGAAACCTATCCTATCTCCAATAAACCACCAGAAAACCGGAAGTGGCGCTGTAGCTCAAGTGGTAGAGCACTAGCCTTGAGCTGAAGAGCTGAAGGACAGCGCCCAGGCCCAGAGTTCAAGCCCCATGGCCAACCAAAAAAAAAAAAAGAATGAAGGCTCTGGTGACTCACGCCTGTCATCCTAGCTACTCAGGAGGCTGAGATCTGAGGATCACAGTTCAAAGCCAGCCAGACTGGGCTTCTTCAGTGAATCAGCTAAGAACCAAGCAAGAGCACAAGGCTATGAGTTCAAGCACCAGTACTGGCAATCACAGAAAAGTAGTTTTTGTTTTTTTCTTTAAGAAGTAGGTCTCCCTTCCAGGTAGTAGTAAAGTTTCTTAGGAAAAGCATACAGTTTCAATAGATGGCAAACAGGGTGAGAATTAGGGCGAGAATTATTGAAGACTCAATGAGAGACTTAAGGGACAAGTCTGGGACATTCCCCTAGGATACTGGGGAGCCAGAGGAACTGGAGCAAAACAGGAACCTCCTACTTTCACGGCTTCTTCTTCTCCCCTAGTACCTCATTCACTGCTCCAGGGTCCCAGTGCTCCCCCCTGTCTCCTTCCTCCTTGGTGGGGCCTGGTTTAACCTCACAGCCCAGGACTATGTCATCCAAGTAAGTGGCCTCCATGATGACTGAGCTTGCAGGCTGGATCTGGGAGCAGAGCTTCATAAGGCCCAGCTAGGGTTGGGGGGGGGGGGTCCGGTCCTGTTAGCCCAGGCTAGTTCCAAACTCTGCATCCTTCTTCCTCAGCCTCCTGGGTCAGTGATTACAGGAGGGATCCACCATGCCTGGCCTACAAGCATTTCTGGTGTGGCCCCAGGGTCGCTGAGCAGCCTCCTCTCTTCATCTTGCAGATTTCTCAGGGTGGCTTCCGCCTCTGCTTGTCTGGCTTCCAGGCCTTGGATGTGCCTCCGCCTGCAGGTCCCCTCTGGATCCTCGGCGACGTCTTCCTGGGGACCTACCTGGCTGTCTTCGATCGCGGGGACTCGAACGCGGGAGCCCGCGTAGGCCTCGCGCGCGCGCGTTCTCGCGAGGCGCAGCGGCGAGGCGGAAATGCGCACGCGTAGTTCGCGCCCCCCCTCCCCCCGCCCGACCCCCGTCTCCCCTCGGGAGCGCCCAGGCTAAGCACATGCGCGCCGGGTTGCATCTGCTCAGTAAATATCTACTATTTTCATTGAATGAACCTGCCGGAGTTTCTTCTTGTAAGCACATGTTTCTTTTTTTTTTTTTTTTTTTTTTTTTTTTTTTTTCCATTTCTTTATTCTCTGCTTTATTTCTTTTTTTTTTTTTTTTTTTATTGTAAAGCTACTATACAGAGGGTCACAGTTACATGAGTGAGGTTATGAGTACACTTCCTCTTGAACATTGTTACCCCCTCCATTGTTTTCCCCCTACCATCCCCTCCCTCCCTCCCTTCCCCGAGGTTCTTTTTTTTTTTTTTGATTGTGATTAAATGATTACATGATTTCAAAGTCACAAGTTCATTCTAACTTCCCTGGAGCAAATTGTCTACCACAGTCTGTAATATATAACAGTGTTCACATGTTATATACCATATTTGTGATCAGCAGCATGAGGATATTTAGTAGTGGTTCAACCAGATGAGCGGGAGTTCTTTGTTTCTTAAGTCCTGTTAGTTTTGTCGTATCACTAACCTTTTGGATTTAGCATCCACTTATGAGGGAGACCATGTACCGTTTGTCTCTTCGTTCTTGGCTTACCTCGCTCAACATGATTCCTTCTAGCTCCATCCATTTCCCTGCAAATGCCATTATTTTGTCATTTCTAATGGCTGCATAATATTCCATTGTGTATAGATACCACAATTTTTGGATCCATTCATCTGTGGTGGGGCACCTAGGTTGTTTCCATATCCTAGCTATTGCGAACAGTGCTGCAATAAACATGGAGGTGCACGTGTCCTTGTATATTGGTTCCTGTTGTTCAGGGTAGATGCCTAGAAGTGGTATGACTGGGTCGTAAGGGAGGTCAATCTTTAGCTTTCTAAGGACCCTCCAGACTGCTTTCCAAAGTGGTTGTATAAGTGTACATTCCCACCAGCAGTGTAATAGGGTTCCTCTTTCTCCACATCCCCTCCAGCATTTGTCGTTGGCTGATTTGTGGATGTGGGACATTCTGACTGGGGTAAGGTGGTATCTCAGGGTTGTCTTTATTTGCATTTCCTTCACCACCAGGGATGATGAACATTTCCTCATGTGTTTCTTTGCCATTTTTATTTCTTCATTTGAGAAGTCCCTCTTTAGTTCCCTTGCCCATTTAGTAATTGGTTTGTTAGGTTTGGGAGGGATTAGTTTCTTGAGTTCCCTGTATATACAGAGCACATGTTTCTTGAAGAGGAAAAATTAGTATTCAGATCCCGAGAGCTGAAGAAGGGGGAGGGGAGAAGGCCATCATCCTGTTCCATTCTAAAAGAGTCGCTCCAGTGAAGGGTTCTTACTACCAATCCCATGAAGCCCCAGGCCTTCCCAGCCTCTAGTTAAAGGCGCCCTCACCGTAGAGCATCACGGGTCTTGTAGTCCTCACTATGTTCCCGTTCTGGCGGGGGCGGGTGCAGCCACAACAAGCGTTGGAGGCGACAGGTCGCGACAACAGCGACAGGTGGCAGTGTGTGTGTAAGGGGGGGGAACTTTCCTGGAAGCGGTAAAGGATTTCTGAACCTTGTGCTAAGAAAGTGGTTTCCATTCTTGCGGACCTCCTCTGTTCTCCCGTGGGATTCTAGGACCCCTGGGTCCTTCATCAAGGCGGAGCTTGAATAACTCCCCCCACCAAGGTTGGGGGAAGCGGTGCTGCTCCTCCTCCGGCGATGATGTCACTCACCCCTCCGCAATCTCTTGCTGCCCAGCGCTGCCAAGGCTGGGTCACCCCTCCCCCCCTTCGCAAGCCTGGGATCCCCCATCCCTGCCTCGCCTGGACCTGGAGTGAGTATGGGGGAGGGAGCTGAGGCTCAGGTCCCTGGGTGGCAAGGCACCCCAAATCCCAGTTTGGGAGACTGGGACTCAAAGATTACGTCGGAGAGGTCCCCCTACATTCTGAGCTTTGAGGGCTGAGATACTGGAAGGTCCCGGGGCGGGGGGGGGGGGGGGGGGGGGGGGGGGGGGGGGGGGGCGGCAAGGAACTCAGGCAGAGAGTCCCCATATTTTCGATTGTAGTGAAACTCCCCTTCCGGATTAGAACTGATGGGCATGGGGTGGAGGAACAGTAGAAATTCAGGATGGGGAGGTAGTCCTTCTCCACGCTTCCTATGGAGGGCCTCGGGAAGGGAGGGAGGAGGGAGTGTAGAGAACTATGGACTCCATGTTCGGAGTCCATAGACTCTTGAGTGTCCGGGGAAAGGATGGATTGGGGAAGGGAAGGCTCTGAAGAAGTGGACAGCCATTCGCCTCTTCTGGTGTCTTGTCAAATATGGAGTCTGTTCCCTCTGGCTCCTGAGTAGAGCTGGGTGTCCGGTAGTCTGAGCCCCAGCTTCTCCCTGCAAACCCCACTGTTTTTGATGGAGGGATGGACGATCCAGGCTCTAAACCCTTTTGCCACGTACCCCCATCCAGGCCATGGCATCCACAGTCCCCAGAACTGAGGAGTCTGGACCATCCTTGACTTACCTCCTGCTGGAGGCCTCTCCTTTGTCTCTCCAGGCCTCAACCCGTGTCTCACCCAGGCTCACCCTTTTCCAGCTCCCTCTCCACACCAGCCCCTACCTTCTCCCACACCTTCTGACCTCTGCCAAAAAATGCTGATTTGGTAACTGCATCCCATGCCTGTACCTGACTGCTGTCAAAAGCAGAAAGTAGGGGCAGAGGGTGGGGTGTAAGCAGCATGGTGACTTAGGTCCTTACCCCAGCCCCTACTACTAGCTCCTACAGCCTACCTGGCACCCTCCCCTCCGCCCCCCCCCCCCCCCCCCCGGTTCAGTCCACGTGAGGCTTCCACTGGCCCTGGAGCCTTCCTCAACATCCACACTGCCCCTCACCTCAGGATTACTTCTGTCCGGGGATCACAGCAGAATTTGGGGGTTGAGAGGGGCAGAAAGTGCCAAACTCTTTTCTCTGCATTGGTGGGTACTAGTAGAGACTGGGGGGGGGCGGGCAGCCTGAGGAGGATCGCGTACTTTTAGGGACAGTGGAAGAGCCCAGGGCCTGGGGAGTGAGGGAACTTACTCCTTGGTCTGTAGGATGGACCTCACTTCTGCAGCTCTCTGCAGTGACGCAGCCTCCTTTCCTGCCAGGATAGGGCCGGGGGGGGGGGGGGGGGAGAGGGCAGGGGGGCGGAGGCTGAGAGAATGGGACAGAGACCCAGGGAAAGGGGAGACTCGGAAAAAGAGGCTCAGAGGCGTGGGGGACATAAGGGAAGAGAAACCCAAGAGAGGACAGATATAGAAAGAATAAGAAAAGGAGAGAGAGAAAGTGCGTAGAGATACTCTGAAAAGGGTGACAGAGAGGAGACCCAGTGAGAGGGGGACAGAGATCTGGAGAGAGGATGAAAGACCCGGGGGGGGGGGGCGAGCCGAGAGGCTCACCCCTCCCAGTGGGGCAGAGACTAGGAGAAAGGGACTGGGGGAAGTGTGCAGAGCCACGGCTGGGGGAGGGAAATTGGTCCAGGACCTGAAGGACGGTGACAGATTGAGACACCCAGAGAGAGACAGGGAGCAGAGCCAGAAACTCCAAGAAGTGGGGGCCAAGGCGATGGGACAGATTGGGGGGGAGAGAGAGAACCATGAGGGGCTATGGGATGGGAAGGTGATGGGAAGCGGCAGCCGCACCTGCAAAAGGGGGTGGCCGGCCAGGTGCGGCGGGAGGCTGCGGGGACGCTGCCTGCAGCCCCCTGACCCGCCCCCTTCACTCCCACAGGCGCCTCCTCCCACCGCAGCCCGGGCCGCCGCTGCAGGCCCTGCCCAGCCTTGCGCCTGCGCAGTTTCCCAGCGCCTAAGTCCACCCTCCTGGAGGCGGGGCCTGCGGGTTCAGAGGCGGTCCCTTCGTCTGGCTCCGCCTCCAACTCGCCACTGCCCGCCCCCTCCCAGCCTCCTGGACACTTAACCCCGCCCCACTCTCCATTCCAGCCGGTGGATGCTCCGGGAACTCTGCCTGCCTGTCTCCTCTGGTCACCCCTCACCAGCATTCACCCCTGCCTTGTTCCTCCAATCCGCCTTGTCCGGGTTTTGTTCCATTTCCTCTGTCTCCTAAGACTTCGCTGGTCCTAGGTCATAGGGCTCGGTTCCAGCCTTCCTTCCGTCCCAGGTCCTTACCCTCCATCCAGCACTGTAGGTTTCTTCTTCTTGCAGAGCCTCTAGGACTCAGCCCTTCCCCCTACCGCTTCCCATCAAGGGACGGACCCATCTCCACTTCCCGCCCTGGCTCAGACCCTCTCCCTCACTGCCCCGGCCCGACCAACACTTTTTTCCCCCTCTCTGGCCATCCAGGCAAAGTAAACCCAGCTCGAGCCCCTCCACCTGCCTCGGCCCCTCCACCTGCCCTGCTCCACACTGGGTCCTGCCTGCTGGGGCTTTAGGTCCCGGCTATTGATCTGTCTTGTTTCTTTCTGCACCTTCTCAACCCAACCAAATTGGCTTCTTCCATTGTTGTCCCACCCTTCCCGGCCAGTTGGCCTACCGTACCTTTTTTAGGCTCTATAAGGTCTCTCATACCTTACCCCGCTTTCTCCGTCCTGCTGGTAGCGCTGAGCCAGACAAACCTCAGCGTTCCTTAGGCGCCCCGCCCCTCCGTTCTGTTCTCTCAAAGATCCAATCAATAAGCTTAGTTGTGGCCCCGCCCAGTTCCAGCCCCTCATCTCCTGGATTTAGCCCCGCCCACATCTCAGACAAATCAGTTCAGAGCCTCCCCACAGAGGCCACGCCCTCTACACGCTAGCTCCTCCCCCACCCAATCGTGCCTGTCTTCTCCCCCCACTGGCCCGCCCCCTCCATCCGTCGTCTCCTCCCACCCAATCAGGTCTGTCCGTCCCCCTGGACCCCGCCCCCTCTCGGCCCCGCCCCTCCAGCCCCGCCCCCCGTCCAATGCTGAGCTCAGTCTGCGTCTCCTCGTTCCGCGGGCGCCAGGGGGCCAGCAAACAGCAGCCGGCGCCTCCGCCGCAGCCGCCCGAGTCCCCGCTGCCGCCGCCACCGCCGTTCCCGCCGCCGTCGCCGCCGCAGCAGGAGTCGCAACCGCAGTCGCCGGAGCAGCCCGGCCCCGCCGCGTCCCCGGCGGGCCCCCCGGCACCCCGCGGGCCCGGGGGCCGGCGCGCCGAGCCATGCCCCGGGCTGCCGGCGGCGGCCATGGGGCGGCACGGCGGCGGCGGCGGCGACAGCGGCAAGATCGTGATCAACGTGGGCGGCGTGCGCCATGAGACGTACCGGTCGACGCTGCGCACCCTGCCGGGGACGCGGCTGGCCGGCCTGACCGAGCCCGAGGCGGCGGCGCGCTTCGACTACGACCCCGGCGCCGACGAGTTCTTCTTCGACCGGCACCCGGGCGTCTTCGCCTACGTGCTCAACTACTACCGCACGGGCAAGCTGCACTGCCCGGCCGACGTGTGCGGGCCGCTCTTCGAGGAGGAGCTGGGCTTCTGGGGCATCGACGAGACCGACGTGGAGGCCTGCTGCTGGATGACCTACCGGCAGCACCGCGACGCCGAGGAGGCGCTCGACTCCTTCGAGGCGCCGGACTCCTCGGGCTCCGCCAACGCCGGGGGCGCGGCGGGCGCGGGCGACGCGGGCTTGGACGACGAGGCGGGCGCGGGCGGCGGCGGCCTGGACGGCGCGGGCGGCGAGCTCAAGCGCCTCTGCTTCCAGGACGCGGGCGGCGGCGCCGGGGGCCCGCCGGGGGGCGCGGGCGGCGCGGGCGGCACGTGGTGGCGCCGCTGGCAGCCCCGCGTGTGGGCGCTCTTCGAGGACCCCTACTCGTCGCGGGCGGCCAGGGTGAGCGAGATCTTGGGGTCCCCTCCTCCGGGCTCTGTGGGACTTCCAGTCCCTTTGGGGTTCCCCTCCCCGAACTCTGATCTCCCCCAACTCATCCCTCTGACCTCCACTGCCCACCCCCTCTCCTTGGTCCTCCTCTGAAGAGGTCTCCCCAACCCACCTTCCAAACCCCATCCGCCCGCTCCAGGGCGCCCCAGACCTCTGGAAACTTCCCGAGTCTCCCAAGCTTCTCCAGAAAACCCTCTCTCGCCGTAGAACATATCTCCCACCCCTCCGTTTTTAGAGCTCTGAGCCCATCCACACCGCTCCCCGGCCCCAGACGCTCTAGGTCCCATATTCAAACTCATTTTTCTCAGCTTTTCTCAGTGCCCCCCTCCTTTCTCCCTGGGCCCCAACTCCCACCAGACCTATCTCTCCGAGTTTGGCTGGTTTTGATCCCTTCTTCTGCTCTGGAAAGTCCCAGAAGACCTCCCTGATCCCTGCCCTCGGCCTCTGTGAACCCCAAAGCCAGTTTCTCTAGCCAGGACACTTCTCCTCCCCCCCCCCCACGAGTCTTGGGACACCTTCCCTCCTGGAAGTTCCCTCCCGCCCCCTCTTGTGTCCATGCCCCCCACAAGCCCTTCACACTCCTCATGTTTCCAGAACAGTAATTTACCCCCATCCCAATTCTTTCCTCCAGAACCCAGTTTGTCCTGCAGAGGTCCTCACCCAGGGGAAGCTCCCTCCTGCCATCCATTCTAATGCACACCCCACCATACTCTGGAGCCTACCCCCGTCCCCCAACTTCTACAACTCCAGGTCTCTTTTCCAAGTCTGTCAAGTGACTCTCTGTCCTCCTCCCAAACTTTGTCACCTGAAGCCTTGGGACCACCCCTCCCCCCTCCCGGTCCAAGTCATCAGCTCAAAAACGTCTTAAAATAGCGTCAATCCTTTTGCCCTCTCTGAGTATCTTTCCACCTACCCCGTGTCTCTCCCCTTCCCCTCCTCAAGCTTCCCCTTCCCAAAGCCAGGGGGAAAGAGTCCACCTCCAGGCCCAAACCCTTCAAGAGTCCATGTTCTCCACCCCGCCTCCCCAGAAAGTGTCTCCATTTCCCTGTAAAAGTTCCCGAGGCTTCGGAAACTTTACCCCCCCCCCCTTCTCCCCTAAACCTTTCTCCCCCTAACTTCTTCCTTGTCACTTAGTCCACAGTGTGAGGGTGAGTAGGAAAATGCGGGGAGAGGACTGGAAGGAGGGGGGGGACAAGTGTGATCTTGAGGGTCCCCTTGTAGTCTCCCGGAGGCCCAAACACCCCAAGGAGCTGGCTGGGCCCCCTTCCCCCCCCCTCACCGTGCCACGTCCTGGGCCGGGAAGGACGCGGAGCCGCAGTGCTGCGTCCGCGCCAGGGGAGGGAGCGAGGGGGGGCCGGGGCACTGCGTGAAGTTAAGTCCCTGGGAAGAGCTGAGTTAGCGAGATTTTGGGGTGAGTGGGGGGAGGTGGGGAGGAAGAGGTGCGGAAGGGACGTGGCCCTAGATGCCCTCTCAGGCTCAGAGCAGCCTTCCCCCCACCCTCCCGCGCCTGGGGCGCCCCTCCCTGCAGTGACCCCATTGCGGGGTGCTGAGTGGGGGGGGGAGATGAAGTCCTTATGTGTGGGTCAGGCTGGGGGTCCGGGACCGCTAAGGGAGGCCTTCAGGTAATTCACAGTAGGCGTTTTCATTTCTCGAGTGTGCCAAGCACTCGCCAGCCTCCCGTGGGGTGGTTAAGGGCTGGGAGTCCCGGGCAGCCCCCCGCCCCTCTCCCCTTACTCTTGATCTCCCACCCTTCTGGCCGGGGAGGGGAAAGGAGGAGGCGAAGCCAGCCGGCCGCCGTCCAGCTCCGCCGCCGCGCCCCGCGGCGGCTGCCCACCGGTGCCTTCCCCCAGGCGCTGGGAGGGAAGGAGTTAAGGAGGCCCTGGCCCGCGGCCTGCTGCCGGGACGCGGCGGCTCTGCGGCTGCGCGCGGCTCAGCGGGCCCCGGCGGAGAGACGGCGCACGGCCACTGCGGCTGCGCACTGCGGCGGGCGCTGTCCACGGTGCTGCCCGCGCCCCGCCCCCGGCCCGCCCCCACTGCGGTGCCGCAGCCGCGCCGCGCGGCGGAGGGGGCGGGGCGCGGACGGCACTGCGGAGAGCCGAGAGGGCTGCAGAGGGGGCCTCCACCGGACCCCGCCCGGCTCGCCTCGACGGGGCCCCCTTGTCGGGGCTGCACCTGGGACCAAAGCCGGCCTCCCACCCGAGTCTTAACACACCCGCTCCCAGGCCCTGACCCGCTGTCCCTCCTCCCTTCCACCTAGCCGTGCTCCACGGCAAGCCCGGGGCCTTCAACCCTGGGCTTCCTCCCCCCAGGCCTGGCCCCTGGCCCCCCTCAAAGCGACAACACCTCAGCCCGTGTAGCAACACTGGTTCTCCACTCCCACACCTTAGTAGTCCTTAGAGCCCGGCCTGCCAGCTCCCCGGTGTCTACCCAGCTTCCCACGAAAGCCTGGACCCTGCTCAACCCCCTGTCTCTCCTCCTCGCTCTCAACTATAACTATAACCGCCTTCCCCCTGCAGGGTGGCCGCCCCCCTGCTGCAGCCTGACCCTGCCCTGTCCTGCGGACCCTGGGGCCTCATCCAGCTTGCTCCCCTCCCCAGCCCTTGGCTGATAGGGCGGCCTGACCTCTGCCGGCCTCTGCCCGCTCACGGTGCCTGCACCAGCTCAGGTTCCTGACCCGTGGCCTTCTCATGGTGGGCCAAGTTGTATACCCAACTTAACAAAACTTAATCCTCACAATCATGTGTGGGGGTGGGGGGGTGTATGGCAGTACTGACCTTTGCACCCAGCATTTTGTGCTGCCTAAAGCTCTTGTTTGGCTTCCCCCCCCCAAGTCTGGTGTTCTTCCACTTGAGTCATACCTCTAATCTGGCATTTTGTTAGTTAATTGGAGAGGGAGTCTTTCAGACTTTTCTGCTCTTGGTTGGCTTCAAACTGCCATCCTCCAGATCTCAGCCTCCTGAGTAACTAGGGTTATAGGCGTGAGCCACTGGTAACTGGCCACAGTCGTCACAGACAAACAGATCCAGAAACAATTTGAGGTTTAGAGTTTGAATTTGCCCAAGTTTGGCAGGTTAGAAGCCAAGTACAAGCCTGACTTCTTCCCAACACATGGTTTTGCCTCTCCAGCTGCCCTGTCCCCTTTCCCTTCCCCTAGTGCCAAGATGAGCCAGAGGCTCTTAGAGTCTGCCCTCCATTCTGCTTGGGAGCTCAAAGACAGAACCTTGGGAAGGGTGGCAAAGAGACAGTACGGGCCACACTGGCCTTTTGTCTGGCGGTGGGGGGAGGGAGGTTTAGCCCCTGACCTGCAGACTACTTTTGTGACTCAGCGTTGGCACATCCGCATTCCCCAGGGCCTTGCCCAGGACACTGGGGGCGGGAGCATGGGATCGGGTTTAGATGCTGGTGGACCTGATGCCTGGGTCACCTCTTTCTCTCCGTCCTGTGCACAGTATGTGGCCTTCGCCTCGCTGTTCTTCATCCTCATCTCCATCACCACCTTCTGCCTGGAGACCCATGAGGGTTTCATCCACATTAGCAACAAGACAGTGACACAGGCCTCGCCGATCCCTGGGGCTCCACCTGAGAACATCACCAACGTGGAGGTGGAGACGGAGCCCTTCCTCACCTATGTGGAGGGCGTGTGTGTGGTGTGGTTCACCTTCGAGTTCCTCATGCGGATCACCTTCTGCCCCGACAAGGTGGAGTTTCTCAAGAGCAGCCTCAACATCATCGACTGCGTGGCCATCCTCCCCTTCTACCTGGAGGTCGGCCTGTCCGGCCTCAGCTCCAAGGCCGCCAAGGACGTGCTGGGCTTCCTGCGCGTCGTCCGCTTCGTGCGCATCCTGCGCATCTTCAAGCTCACACGGCACTTTGTGGGGCTGCGGGTACTGGGCCACACGCTTCGTGCCAGCACCAACGAGTTTTTGCTTCTCATCATCTTCCTGGCCCTGGGCGTCCTCATCTTCGCCACCATGATCTACTACGCCGAGCGCATTGGTGCCGACCCTGATGACATCCTGGGGTCGAATCACACCTATTTCAAGAACATCCCCATTGGCTTCTGGTGGGCCGTGGTCACCATGACGACGCTCGGCTACGGGGACATGTACCCCAAGACATGGTCAGGGATGCTGGTCGGGGCACTGTGCGCCCTGGCGGGGGTGCTGACCATTGCCATGCCGGTGCCTGTCATCGTCAACAACTTTGGCATGTACTACTCGCTGGCCATGGCCAAGCAGAAGCTGCCCAAGAAAAAGAACAAACACATCCCGCGCCCACCGCAGCCGGGCTCGCCCAATTACTGCAAGCCTGACCCGCCGCCGCCACCGCCACCTCCTCCACACCATGGCAGCAGTGGTGGCCTCAGCCCCCCGCCCCCCATCACTCCACCCTCCATGGGGGTCCCCGTGGCTGGGGCCTACCCTCCGGGGCCTCATACACACCCGGGGTTACTCAGGGGAGGTGCGGGGGGACTGGGCATCATGGGGCTACCTCCGCTGCCGGCTCCTGGTGAACCCTGTCCCCTGGCTCAGGAGGAAGTGATTGAAATCAACAGGGCAGGTGAGGCTGGGGGCCTGGAAGGGGGGGTAGGAGGAGGGAAGGGGCGGGAGGGTCTCAGGAACGGTTGGTAAGGTTCAGGGAGACTGGGGTGGTTGGTGATCATTGGGGAAAAAGGCAACCAGGGTGGTGACAGCCAGAAAGGTGAGACCTGGAGTTTGCCTTTGGAGAGACTTGGAGCTAAGCTGTTCCCAGGGGCTGTTGAGGCAGAAGAGTGTGGGGGGGAATAATGAACACTGAGAGGGGCTCATACGGCCCCAGGTGGCCAGAGACCGAGGCTGGCATCAGGAGCAGCTTTTGGCACTGTGCTGAGAGCCAAGAGGACAAAAGTGGCACCGAGGGCAGCAGGAAGTCACTGAGAATAGAAGGAACATGGGGAGGGATATATAGCGGGAGGCAGTGGTAGTGCGGCCAGCCTGGAGAACATGCGTGACACTAAGGGCCAGAGGCCTGGGGATGGGAGGGTCACAGGCTGGGGCGGCCTGGCCACGCAGAGTGGTGGGGCCCTGCAGAGGGAATGCGAGGAGAACTGCAGATGTGGCTGGAAGGAGATGAAAGCCAGAGAGACAAGGGGCAGCCCTGGGGTGGTCTGCAGCTCAAGGGTAGTCATTTGGGTGGTTGGGGGGAGGACACGGCCCCCCCCCCAGGCCTTAAGTAGGTCAAGCAAAGGAGCTGGGCCAGCCAGCCTCCATCTCACTCCCTTGGCCGCTGATCCAGTTTCACACCAGTAAAAATAGCTCAAGTCAGAGCCTAGGGGACCCCTGCATGCCCCTCCCTCCTCCTGCACCTCCCTACCTGCCCCCCACCTGTCCCTAAATGCCACTGCCAATCTGTCACGTCCAAAACCCCAGCACCTTGCCCGGGTCATGCCAGCTCCACTTCCACCTGCCACCCTCCCAGCATCTGGCCCGGCTGTCCTCCAGGCCACCTGCCCCTCTCCCCCCTCCCCTGCCTCACTGCCCACCCATCCCTGACCACCAGGTCCACCCTACCCATCCTCAGAAATCCTCCCCTCCCCAGAACCAGTGGGCACCCCCACTCACGCCCTTCTACCCTCTGCTTGTCAAGGCCCTACCCTAGGGTCTTCTCAGAGTTGTATTTTTGGGGGCTAAACCCAGGGTCTCTCTCATTCCAGGCAAGCATCCCACCATTTGAGCCATGCCCTCAGCCCTTTTGGTATCTTTCTTTTCTTTCTTTTTTGTCAGTCATGAGGCCTGAACTCTGGGCCTGGGCGCTGTCCCTGCGCTCTTTAACTCAAGGCAAGCGCTCTACCACTTGAGCCACAGTGCCACTTCCGGTTTTCTGGTGGTTTTATTGGAGATAAGAGTCTCATGGCCTTTGCTGCCCGGGCTGGCTTTGAACCTCGATCCTCAGATCTCAGTCTCCTAAATAGCTAGGATTACAAGTGTGAGCCACCAGCGCCCAACTTCTTTATTATTTTTGAGATAGGGTCTTGCTAACTTTGCCCAGGCTGGCCTGGAACCGGAGATCCTCCTGCCTCTGCCTCCCGAGTAGCTGGGATGACATGCATGCGCCCACACCTGGCTGGCCCTCGCTCCTCCCCCCTCTTTCCCTTGATGACTTTGCCTCCCTCCCTCTTTCCTTTGGGTCTGTGTCTGACCTTTGGGGCTGCAGACCCTCGCCCCAATGGGGACCCCGCGGCAGCCGCGCTGGCCCATGAGGACTGCCCAGCCATCGACCAGCCCGCCATGTCCCCCGAGGACAAGAGCCCCATCACACCTGGAAGCCGGGGCCGCTACAGCAGAGACCGGGCCTGCTTCCTCCTCACCGACTACGCCCCGTCGCCTGATGGCTCCATCCGGAAAGGTGAGGGGGCCTCCAGGGGCCCCAGGGGACCCTCCCTCTCTCCCCTGCCCAGGGGAGGGAGGAGAGGGCGGAGGGGGGAGTGATGGGGGTGCCGGGCTCCCCTCCCCTCAGCCCACACCTCACCCACTTCCCGCCTCGCCACTGACCCTTCACCTGTCTTTATTTCATCTCCATTTCCCCCCCCACCCCCACCCTCGGCCTCTTCCCCACCTCCAACCACCGGGGCTCCCCCAATGCCCCCCCCAGACTGGCATAAGCCAGCTCCCCTGAACTTCTTACCCGACCTCAACGCCAACGCTGCAGCCTGGATAGCCCCCTAGTGGACCAACCCCTCCCCGGGGTAAGTAGCCCCCCCACCATGCACCCCCTGACTCTCCCTGCCTCCCGACTAACCCCTGTGAGAACATGCGCCCCCCCACTGACTAAGACCCCCACTGACACTGACCCCACCCACCCAGGATTAACCCAGACCCCGCCACCCCTGATGCACCCAGACTTCTGCACCCCACCCACCCCCAGGACCACCCAGCCCTGGCGACTGACCCCATCCTCAACCCAATCCTCTGCCCTATCTGCATTTGTGAACCAATAAAACAGGGTGCAGAAGCCAGGGACAGGTTGGGGTGAGCCCCATCACCTACCACCCTTTGCCCAGGGAGTAGAGCAGATGCATAGACAGGAGGTCAGGGAGGGGAGAGGAGGGAGGGTGCAGGGATCCAGCTAAGGGTGCCATAGAACAAGGCCAGGCTTGGGCCCGGGACCTCGTGCAGGAGTCCAGAGAGGCCGGGCAGAGCCAGGACTATGCAGGGGCAGTGCAGGGACAGGCTGGAGTGGAGGATGAGATGGGAGGAGAGGATGAGGCTGGAGGAGGCAGAGTGAGAAGTCAGGGTCAAGACAAGGAGGCTGGGAGGTGAGAGCAGGAGGTGAAGTGTCCAGCGTTTACCACTGCTAGGATGGAACATTCTAGAATCCATGCCACAAGCCTGGCCTGCCCTGGGAAGTTCACACAGGAACTCACCACCCGTTTATTAAGTAAAGAATCATTTGCCTGGCTTTGCCCTACTGAGCATCAAACCCAGGTCCGCTTAATTGCTAAGCAGGTGCTGTACCACTTGAGTCATGTGCCTGGCCCTTTTATTGTTTTAGTGTTCATGGTTTTGTCCTGTCTGTTTTCCTGGTAGCTAGGATTAAAGGTGTGAACCCCTGGGCCAGCCCCAGGCATGATTCTTGAGGGTTCAGAGAAAGATTCCCTGTCCATAGTTTAGTCTAGAGCAAAGGTTGGGACAGCCCAAGGGACCCAAGCTTGCAGCCAGCTGTTCTTGTAAATAAAACTTTACTTGGGACACATGGCTGTCACACCACAATAGCAGAAGAGAATATTGGTAACCCCGGTCATACAGCCCCTATAGCCAAACAAGTTCACTATCTGGCCCTTTGCTGGACAGATCTGCCAACTCCCGATTGGAGGAAGCAGAAAATAAACAGGAAACAGAAAAAAACCCAATCAATATATTTTGGTCATTTCATATAAGGGTCTTTTTGAAGAGGTGACATGAAATCTGAAGGGTGAACCCAAGGTGGCCTCCAACCATGATCCTCAGAATCTCTGCCTCCTAAGTAGCTGGGGTTACAGGTAGAGCCAACTAGCCTGGACCTCAGGCTTATGGTCATCATAACCGGAAGCCACCTGGTGGTTCTGTCCCTCACTCACTCAACCAACATCTGTGGGCTGCACCTCAGGAATGCAAAGACCTGCCAGGCTAAGGTGATGCCATAGGGAAACTTGGGGTGTCTCTGTGGACGGCCTGGCAACCCCCCCCCCCCCAGGTTTAGGGAGGGCTTGACAGGCACGGGAGCCAGGCTTCCTCTTCTAATGCAGGATTCAGGATTCTGTTCCAGCTCCCCTCCCCTCCCCCATCATTCTCCATTTCATCTCACCACCCCCCCTTTTCCCTGCTTGCTCCCAATCTTTACCAACCTTTCTGCCCCACCCCAGGGTCTAAGGGGCCCCGGCTGGAATGGAGGGGGGAGAGGAGTGGGGAAGGCTGGGAGCAGGGGGGGTGGGGGGAGGTTTAGGGGAGGTCCCTGCTTCTCTTGCCTACAATGCCAAAATCCATTCATTGAACTCAAATCATGGCTGGAGCTGAAGGGGCTGACTGAATCCAGTGCCCGGGATCCTTCCAGTCTCCCCTCCTCTCCCCACTTCCCCTCCTCTCCCAGGCCTGTCCCCCACCCCCATTCTCCGGCCCTCCCTCCTCCTGCCTTGTTTTCCCCCCACCCCACCCCAGCCACCCCAGAAGCTCCTTCCATATTTGATGTCTCTGGCCGCCCCCATTTCACTGCTCTCCTGCACCCCGGAAAACACCAGAGAGGAAGAAGAGATCCCGGCGTTTCTCCATCCCCCCAACAGTGAGGCTGTGTTGGGGGGTCCCCCATCATTCCCCCTCCCCCAACCCGCCGTGACTCTCTGTATTTCTGTCCCCAGCTCTTGTCACCGCCTGAGACCTCGCGAGACCCTCGGGTCCCCCCTGTCCCTTCCCCCCAGGTTAGCAATTGGGAATGGCTGGGAGGGGGTATCACAGGACCCCGGGCTTCCACACCCCAGGCCATGTCCTGAAGCCAGCACCCCACTTCCAGGCAGCCCCCTTACCTCTGCCCAGATCCCCCCCACACACACTCACACACTGGCGGAACCCAAGAGGTGACACCCACTGAGCCTGGGCCTTGGCTACCCCAAGCTGTCCTGCCGTCCTTCCGGTCATGCGCAGAAGCCCACCCACCCATCCACTCGGTCTTCGGATGGTCCAGCTCCTGGCACACCTGCCCTGGGAAGCTGGCCGGGAGGTCCCCCCCCCCCCCCGCCCCGCCCCTGCTCCCTTCTCTGCGCCCCACCCGCCGGCACCCCAGTCCTCTCCACCGGCTGCTCCCCACGTGCATCCCACCAGCCTCCCTGCGCCCCACCGCCCACCATCCCGCCTCGCTGCCCCCCCTTTTGGCCTCAGACGAGGGGAGCTGGGTGGGGCGGGGCGGGGAGGCCCGGGCCCCCCCTCCCCGCGCGCGCGCGCGCCGCGCAGGCTCTGACTCCTGTTCTCTGCTCTCTCTCTCTCCATCGCCTGTGTCCCACTGTCCCCCCTTCTCTGGGACTCCCGCCCTCCCCTGCATCCCTCTCTCTTCTTCTCCCTCCTGGGGTCCCTCGCTGCTCCCCCCCCCCGCCCTCTCTCCTTGCCGCCCTCTCCCCCTCATGTCTCTGCCCTCCCCAGGTTACGAGAAATCCCGCAGCCTGAGCAGCATCGCGGGCCTGAGCGGGGTGTCCCTGCGCGTGGCGCCGCTCGCCACCCCGCCCGGCTCCCCGCGCGCCGCGCGCCGCGCGCCCCCCACCCTGCCCTCCATCCTCTAACCCCGCGGGCGGGCGGCGGGGGTCCGGGGGGCGGAGGAGGAAGGCCCGAGGAGGAGGAGGTCTGGGGGAGGAAGGTCCGAGGAGGAGGGGGTCCGGAGGACGGCCCGAGGTGGGGCCGAGGTCTGTGCTGATTTTTTTTTTTTAACAAAAGAAAAAACCCAAAGTCATTACTAATAGGCTCCCGAGAAGAGACGCCAGCCGATGCCCGGGCCTCGCCCCCGCCTGGCCCGCAGAACGGAGGGGCCCCTCCAGCCCGCTCCAACCCCCCTCTCCCCCAAAATGCCTTCTCAGGTCTCCATGAGCCATAGGGCACCCCACCCACCCACTCGTGTAAATACGCCCGGATGTTGCCACTCCATCTTGGGGCACCCCCCCCTCCGCATGTCCCCCCCAAGCCCCCAGCCCGGACCCCCCTGCTCCGACTCCACCTCAGCAATAAGCCGCCAGGGGCTGCATGCCTGCGAGCTCCAGGGTGGGGGGCCGGGCCCGCGGTGGGGCTGCGCCCCCATCCCCGCACCGCGCACGGCCACGCGGGGAAACCAAAACCAAGGAGGAGACGCGGGCCTGAGCCCCGGGAGCGGCCCCGATCCTGCCGGGGTTTCCCCCCCCAGCAACCCCTCCCCCGGGGTCCAGAACTCGGGGCGGGGGTGACCCCAGCACAACTCCTCCCCCTTCCCCGCCGTTCCTAGGACTTGAGACCTGCACCCAGAATTCCTGAGATGACCCCGCACCCGGACCCCTCTCCCCGCGGCGCACGGATGCTTCCCGGGCCCCCCACCCCCGGGCCGCACCCCAGTTATTTCACACCTCCGAGGTGTGACCCAGCTCTTAGCTCAGTTTCAGCCTTTGGGATGCTCCAGTTCCTTTCCCACTCCTACACCCCCAAATCCTCAGAGGGGCCCCCAGACCCATAGCATCGGACTCCCCGGATGTCTGCGGGCCCAGGGAGCCCGCCCCGCCCCCTCGTGCCTCAATGTCCCCGCGTGGGGCTCGGGCCGGGACCCCGCGGTCAGGCGCGGAGTGCGGTGCTCCGCCAGCCTCGTCGGCCAGGCTGTCGGTGGTGGAGGCTGTGCGGGAATGTGGGGCGCCGGGCGGGCCGGTGTGGAGGCGGGGAAACCCCGGTTCGGGCTGGGGTTCCAGTGGCCCCAAACCCTGGCCCCGGGCCTGGTGTTCAATCCATTTCTCAACGTCCCTTCCTGGCTCAAAGGATGCGCTACCTCCCCCAGGCCCAGGGTCCACACAGGTCCCAGAATCCTTAGCGGACCCCCCTTTTGGAGCTGGGGGGCCCCAGAATTAGCAACCTCCCTCTCCCCCCACGGCCCCCTGAGGGTGGGCGTGATTCTTGATGCAACGATTCCTATGCAAGGGGCATTTTGAGTCCCCCCATCCTTCCCTGGGCCCCGAGACCCTGGTGAGCAGGGGTGGGGGTTGGGGGGACCCGGTGGGGGCGGGGCAAAGGGCTAGGGGCTCCAGACACCAGGGGGTGGGGGGGGACTGCTTACATTGCCAAAGGGTTCAACGTCTTTAAAAAGCCCCTTTCTCCCCCCTCCCCACCCTCGCTAAGGCCGCAGGGGGCGGGGAAGGGGGAGAGGGACTGACCTCTTCCCCGCGCCCCCCCCTGCTCCCCAGTCCACCACGTACCCAGCTTTTTAGTTCAGCTTAAAAAAACAAAAAAACCCAACGAACCCCAATCATTGTCCTTGTCAACACAGTGTGGGATGAGGGGAGGGAGAACGAGCTAGAAGGACTCCTTCCAAGTCCCGGCTCCCCCTTTTCTCCCCGGCCGCCAGGGTGCCTGCAACTGCACGCATGCGCTGCATGACGCGCCCCCCCCACACGCATGTCGCGCCCCTCCTGCGCTCCGGGAACGCACGGACACGGGGCGGGGGGCGGGCGATGGGGGGGCGGGATTGGCGGGGGGGGGGGCTTCCTGAGCTCAGCGGCTCCCCCTCCCCAGCACACACGCGCGCGCATACTCAGCAATAAGTTCCTCCGCCCTCCGACGGGGGCGGGGCGGGGCGGGGCGGGCCCGCCTGGGGGAGGGGGCGGGGCGCTCTCAGGGACGGGGGCGGGGTCCGGAGTCAGTGTGGGGAGGGGAGGTCTCCAAATCGTCCAACTCTGGTGCTAACGGCGGGTCTCCTCAGCCCACCCGTAGGGCAGGGGGGGAGGGGTGAGCAGGCCCCTCTCCCGCGCCTCCCCCACGCCCCCCCAGGGTGCATGAACCGCCCGATCGCAGAAGCTGCCGCATGTCACCCCTCCCCAGAGAAAAAGTGTCATGCCCCCTTCCCCACCCCCACCCCGGCCCTCCACTCCCCATCCGAATAAACGTTTCCTTTTCATTTAACAAGCGCCTCGTGTGTCTGCGGAGCCGGGGTCCGCCTGGGGTCCCACGGAGGTACGGGCGCAGACCCGGGGGCCGCGCGGCCCCGCGATCGCAGAGGCGCTTCGGTTAGGGCCAATGCGCCACGGGGGCGGCTGGAGCTGTCCCAGGTGCTGGAAGCCGCTGCGCGTGCGTGCGTGTGTGCGCGCGTGCGTGTGGCGCGCTTGTGCGTGTGTGCGCGTACGTGTGCACCAGTAATCAGGTTTGAACTCAGGTCTTGGTTCTCACAAGGCTTTTACTCAGGGCTGGAGATGAGTTTTAGGAAGTGGGACGCTCGCCTGTTATCCCAGCTACCGAGGAGGCTGAGATCTGAGGATCCCGGTTCAAAGCCAGCCCAGGGAGAAGTCTGTGAGACGCTTGTTTCCAATTAACCTAAAACCGGAAGTGGAGCTGAGGCCCAAGTGGTAGAGCGCCAGCCTTGACCACAAAACGCTCAGGGACAGTGCTCAGGCCCTGAGTTCAATTCCCAGTATGGAGGGAACAACAACAAAAGCCTATGGGGGCTGGGAAGGTGGCTCAGTGGTAGAGCGCTCGCCTAGCATGCCTGAGGCCCTGGGTTCGATTCCTCAGCACCACATAAGCAAAAAGAAAAAAGCCGGAAGTGGCACTGTGGCTCAAGTGGCAGAACGCTAGCCTTGAGCTGAAAAGCTGAGGGACAGCGCCCAGGCCCAGAGTTCAGGCCCCACGCCTGGACCCCCCCCCCCAAAAAAAAAAAAAAAGCCTATGGGCTTTACTGCCCAGGCTGGCTTCGAACCTCCATCCTCAGACCCCAGTCTTCTGAGTAGCTGGGATTACAGGGTAGCAAAATCACTAAGTTTAAGGGGTTGTACCCCATGGAGTATTCCCACTAGAGGGTCTGTGGAAGCGGGATTGGAACCCGTCCTCCTCAGGTTGAAGTCACGCCCCCCCCCCCCCGCACTCTGCATGAATGGTCACAGCCGTCCGGTTGGAGGGTGCAGTTTATTTCCGCTAGTGTGCCCCCACTAGCTGGGAGGGGGAGACACCCCAGCCTGCGACCACAAGATGGCCTGAAAGGGGGTTGGAGAGGTCTGGGGAGTCCGGGGCAGTTGAGAAAGGTCAGCGGGCTGAGCTCGAGCCAACCGCCCCGCCTCCCTCCAGACCAGCGCCCGCCCCGGCTCCGCCCCGCCCGGTCCGGGGTCTGGGTGGAGGGGTCGGTCAGCGCCAGGAAGTGCCGGAGGCCTTCATCTCCAAAGAGCAGGGCAGAGAGGCTGTGAGGGGCAGGGACGAGGGCGGCGCGGGTCACTGGGGCGGGGCCTCCTGGGCCTGGGGCGGGGCCTCCTGGCCTGGCTCCGTCCCCTCCGCCTCCTCGTCGGAAGCCACGCCCTCCTCCAGGCGGAAGACTTGCCGCACGGTGCGCGTGGTGAAGGTGAGCGGGCCCCGCCTGTAGGTTGAGAGGGGACGGGACAGAGGTGGGGGGGGCGCAGAGAGGAGTTGGGGGGCAGAGGAGCGGGGGGAGGGCAGAGAAGGGCATGAGGAATGATGGGGTACGGACAGATGGAGGAGGCCAGGGAGCCGGCAACAGGATGGACAGAAGCAGAGCAGAGGAGGGCAGGCAGGACGGCAGAGGGCGGGCAGGAGAGGGGGAGAAGGCGAGGGGGGAATTGACGGCTCACTGAGGGTCTGGCCTCGCTCTCCCGGCCGGCCCCTGCCCCGGAGCCCCGCCTCCTGCCGCTGAGCTCCGCCCCTGAGCCCCCCTTCCTGCACCTCGGAGCCCCGCCCCCTGTGCCCGGAGCCCCGCCCCTGCACCCGGAGCCCCGCCCCTGCACCCGGAGCCCCGCCCCTGCACCCGGAGCCCCGCCCCCGTGCCCGGAGCCCCGCCTCCCGCCCAGCCCTCCCGCCGTGGTCGAGCACGCACCGGAGCCGGTTCCTGAGTGTGGTCACCTCGCGGTTCATGGACTCCGCCGACTCGGTGACGTCCTCCAGCTCCCGCTGGAGCCGCCGGCGACCGGCCTGCGCGCGGGATGCCTCCTCCTCCGCCTCCTCCAGCTGCCGCTTCAGCTGCTTCATCCGGAGGTTCCCCTTCTCCAGCTTGCGGGAGGGCCGGAGCCGGGTCACATGCTGGGGACTGCCGCACCCCCTCCAGCCCCTGCTCCCCCGCCCCCTGCCCTGGCTCCTGCGATCTCTTCCTGTCTTCTCTGCCACCTGAAAGCCTCGTGCTGCCTCCAGCCCTTCTGTCTCTCGGAGGGAGGGATCTCCGCTCACCCAGGGCTGGCCCTAGCCAGCCAAGGCTCCCCCCGCAACACAGGGGTAAGACCCCAGTCCTCAGCTTGGCGCTCAGGCCTGGCTCTTAAGCCCACTGGCCAGCTTCATCAAGATCCCCTTCCAGATCCTTCCATCCCTTTCCTGGAAGGGAACATGTGATCTAATTTAATTCCCATCACTCCCTACCCTATTTCTTCTCTCCGGCCATACAGCTTTGATTTTTGGTCTGAAATGATCGAGTTCTTTTTATTTTTTTATTTTTGCCAGTCCTTGGACTTGAACTCAGGGCCTGGACACTATCCTTGAGCTTCTTAGGCTCAAGGCTAGCTCTCTACCACTTGAGCCACATCACTACTTCAGGCTTTTTCTGTGTCTGTGGTACTGAGGAATGGAACTAGGGCTTCATGCATGCTAGGCAAGCGCTCTACCACCAAACCACATTCCCAGCCCCTGGAATTCATTTTGATTTCCCAGGGCTGTTGCACTTGCCTGTCCCCAATCTAAAGAAGCTCCTCTATTCTTGCCTCTATCTTCCTTCCCTGTTCTCACTCATTGTCCTGGACACAATCTATCTTTATCTTTGTTTATGAATATGATGGCCAAGCCCTTTCCCAGCTCGGTAATTTTAGGAATGAATAGTTAACAAAGTGAAGCTGAGCTTTTAAGGGCACAGTGATTTGATCTGGAGCCAGGGGCTGGGAAGGTGGCTCAGTAGTAGAGCGCATGCCTTGCATGCATGAGGCCCTGAGATTTGAACAAAGCCGAGCTGAGCTTTTAAGGACACATGGACTGGGCCAGGCAGACAGTCCTGGGATTTGATCACCTGCCAACTCCACCCCATTCCTGCTAAACACAAGGCATCTGATCCTCCCCACATGTCACTTTCTTCCCCTGAGTTGGGCCTCTCCTGATACTTCCTGTGATGGTAGCTGCATGTCTCCAGTCAGTGGCAACAGCGGCTTACCTGGTCCCGGAGCTGGTCGGCCACCCTCCTCTCCTCCTCCACCTGGAGAACCACCTCCTTTAGCCGCTTCTCAGCCCTTCGGACCAGCTTGCCAGAGAGGATCCGCTCTCTATTGGAGGATGGGAGTGGGGGAGGGAGGCTCAGGGGGAGGCCCATGGGTATGGCCCCTCCATCCTGCTGTGGCACCTCTGTGCTGAGAACCAGCCTGCGCCCTATTTCCCACCCCACAGCTATCAGATGCTGGCACTGGGTCTCCCTTGCATCCTTTCCTCCTACTATGATGATTAGTGACCTTTGGAGTAAACATGTATTCTGTCTTCTATATTGAAGATAGACACAAAGGCCCTTCTCCCACTGAGGGGATATCACAGCCCTAAGCCCAGGTAGCCCAGCCTCTGATACAGCGAGTCCTCAGCAAATGAGAACTACTCCTACTATGGTAACTACAACTGTTGACTTGTACAGTGAATAAGGGAATCTTGTGTATTGGAGAGAGACGACGTATAGGTTTTTCAATATATTCTGTTAGCTTTATTACAGTACTTCTTCACTGTGCATGCTATGGGAATGGGCCAGGTTATCCCCCTGACTGAAGATGGAGACTCTATAGTACTGCTACTTCCTGGCTCTGAATGGGGATGTACAGCCATTTTGTGACCATGAAGGAAATACTGACCCAGAGCCTTAATCTCTTTGGGTTGTGTGGCTCTAACTTTTTTTTTGGGGGTGGGGGTCCGGTTGTGGGGCCTGAACTCTGGGCCTGGGCACTGTCCCTCAGCTCTTCAGCTCAAGGCTAGTGCTCTACCACTTGAGCCACAGCACCACTTCTGGCTTTTTTTTTCCTGTTTATGTGGTGCTGAGGAATTGAACCCAGGGCCTCATGCATGCAAGGCAAGCGCTCTACCACTGAGCCAGCTTCCCAGCCCCTGGCTCCAACTTTGTTGTTGTTATTGTTGTTGTTGGTCATGGGGCTTGAACTCTGGGCTTGGCACTGTCCTTGCCATCTTCAGCTCAAGGTGAGTGCTCTACCACTTCAGCCACAGTGCCACTTCTGTTTTTCTAGTGGTTTATTAGAGAGAAGAGTCTCACAGACTTTCCTGCCCGGGCTGGCTTTGAACTGCAATCCTCAGATCTCAGCCTCCTGAGTAGCTAGGGTCACAGGCGTGAGCCACTGGTGCCCAGCTATTTTTTTTTTTTTTTTTTTTTTTGTCGGTTGTGGAGTTTGAACTCTGGGCCTGGGCGCTGTCCCTGAGCTCTTCAGCTCAAGTCTGGCGCTTTACCACTTGAGCCACAGTGCCACTTCCAGATTCCTGGTGGTTAATTGGAGATAAGAGTCTCACGGATTTTCCTGCTAGGGCTGGCTTTGAACCTCCATCCTCAGATCTCAGATTCCTGAGTAGCTGGGATTACAGGTGTGAGCCACTGGTACCTGGCTTCCAAATTTTATTATCTATCTGAGAAGTAAGAAATTTTGCTTTGTGATGGATTGAGGGGGGAAAAAAGTGTCCTCAAATCTCACTTGTTCCCAAGTGCTCTCATCTTTGGCTCCTGTGAAGGGGTAATGGTTTTCCCCATGCTTTTTAACCTGAGTTCCTAATATAACCTGCTCAGTTCAAATAGACTATGGAAGAAGTGATTCTGTATAGACCTCAAGAACCTCTTCCTTGGTTGGGAAGGTGGCTCAGTGGTAGAGCGCTTGCCTTGCATGCATGAGGCCCTGGGTTCGATTCCTCAGCACCACATAAGCAAAAAGAAAAAAGCTGGAAGTGGCACTGTGGCTCAAGTGGTAGAACGCTAGCCTTGAGCTGAAGAGCTGAGGGATAGCACCCAAGCCCAGAGTTCAGGACCCATGACTGGACCCAAAAAAAAAAAAAAAAAAAAAAAGAACCTTTTCCTCTTTCCCTCACTTGCTGGACTTTGACTTTGCCACACAACCACTCCCTGGCTAGCCTGCTGGGGATGAGAGCCACATGTTAGCTTAGTTGTTCTGGAATAAGGCCTAGTTTACCTATTTCTGAGCCCAGCTCAAGAGAACCTACCAGGAAAGCCCCAAACTCAGAGCAGTAATAAGTAGTGCTTTAAGTCACTGAGGCTTAGGTACTTTTTGTTACACAGCCCTAACTAACTGCTCCATTCATTCTTACATAGCTGGTACTGTCAGCAGGACTGCAGGTCCATGCAGCCGAAAAGCACACTCTCTCTCCACTGACCTGCTCTCTTGTTCCAGCTGCTCTTCTGCCTGGGCCAGCTTGGATTCAAGGGCAGCGATCACCATCTTCTGGCGTGCCCGGGCCCCTGCGTCCTCCTCACCCAGGCGTCCCCGTAGCTCCTGCATCTGTCTCTCTAGCTGCTGTCGTCCACTCTCAGCCTTGGCTGAGAAGCTGCGCTCAGCAGACAGCTCTGTGGTGAGAGACTCCACCTGGAGCAGGTGGGGAAAGGCAGACTCAGAGGAAGAAGGTGGCAAAGCCGGGCCTCCCCCAGAAGCAAGCAGGCTGGCAACTGCTGGGTGTAAGCACATGGACTGCCGGAAACAAAAGGCCCAGGCAACATGGGCTTGTGGTTTGACATCACCGGACAATGCTCCAGGCACAGGTTTTAACCGTTTTATGGTGTTACCCCTATTTTAATACATTCACAAGATGATCACAAGCCTGTTTAAGTGCTGTAGTTCTTGCCTCTGACTGTGAATGAGTCTATTTCAGGGGTTATCACATTGTGGGGGGAGGGGAGTGCAATGGGGGTGGCAGCCATGGGCACCTGCAGGAGCAGCTTGCGGTAGCGGTCACCCAGTAGCTCGGCGTTGCTCTGCTCCTCCTCCAGCTCCTCCTCCATCTGTCCCAGGCGCCCCTCAAGCTGCCGCTTCTCCTCAAGGATGGCTGCCCTAGGAAGAGCGAAGGGGGGGGTAAGGGCAAGAAGGTCAGGGCAGGTGCCAGGCTGCCGTCCTGGTGCCACTCACTTGCTGAGGTTGCCATTGGCCACCTCATCTGCCATCTCATCGCGGTCCTGTTGGGCCTGTCGCCGGGCACGGTCCGAGGCTGCCAGTTCCTGCGGTGACAGGATCAGTGGTCAGCATGGTCAGTGGTGGGCCGAGTCGTGGGGAGCTCTCTGGACACTGGCCTTACCCCTACCTGGCCCTCCCTCTCAGATCGCTCAGCTTTCCCCCACAGGTGTGGTCCCTGGGCTTTAATGGAGGATAATCCACCCAGGACCACTGGTAAGCCCCGCCCACATCCCTCCCAGGACTACAAGTCAGCCCTGCCCACATCCCCACCCAGGACCACCAGTTCCTAGCTTCACCTCCTGCAGGCGCAGCACTTCGGCTTCCAGCCCCTTGAGGCGCTTCTCACTCTCTCGGTTCTGGGCAAAGATCTCCTCCCGGGAGCTGCGGGTTTCCTCCACCTCCCGCCACAGCTCCTTCATCTGGGCCTGCACAGAATGGAGGGCATGGTGGGTAAACTTGGCCTTGTCTCACAGAAAATCCCAACAACAGGGTATAACTGTCACTCTCAGATTAAAGGGGAAAGAAGCCCAAAACAAGCCTGTAAGCAATTTCCGTATTAAAGATGACGTGACATTGAGACGGGATAGACTAGGGGAAATGGGACTTAACTTAGAGACAGGAACTAAGGACAGCACTATCAGAAACTTCACTAGGGGCGTGCAGCCCGGGTCTCACCCTCGCTGAGAGGCAGCCCATTGGCACTGGGGGTTGAATTCATGCTTGGTAGGCAAGTGCTCCACGGAAGGCCACGCCCACCAGAAGCACCACCCACACGTGCCACGTCCAGTGTCTGGCCACGCCCATTTGTTGACCACGCCCACATGGCTGTACGCGCAGCCCTGCAGTAGGTCTTTGATTTCTGCTCACTTGCTGAATAAAACCCCACCGGCCTCTACCTCCTTTAGTGTCTTGGCTTAGGATTCCTTCTTGTGTCAGGAGGACCTGTGGTGGCCAGAGCCCAGGCCTGGTCTCTCCTGGGACGGCCTGACCCCCACCCCCACCCCACTAACCCCTGATGACAAATGCCATGAGCCAGAACATCAAACTGCAGCACTTGAAACAAAGCAGCTGGGAAGTGCCAAGAGAATGAATGGAATGAGGATTTGGGATAGGGAGCTGACCAAGGTGCTGGCTAGATCTGACAAGTGGATGAGGCTCTGTAACTAGTCTCAGTGTCTGAGGGGGAAGATGTGGTTCTCTCCCGCTAGGAGCCCCCCACCCAACGGAGCCGCTTCCTTGCCTGCATCTTTCGCAGCTGCTTCACCGCCTCCTCCTTGCCCTGCCCCGCGGTCGCTGTCTGCGCCTTCAGCTCCTCCAGCTCCGCTTCCAGTTTCTTGCGCGCAGCCACGGCCAGGGCCCGCTGCTTCCGCTCCTCGTCCCGTTCCACTTCGGCGTCCCGCAGCTGGGGGAGAGGCCCGGTCATGGGATGGGGTTCCCGGACCCCCAGGGTCCACCCCAAGCCCCTGCCTTGCCTTTCCTCCCCACCCCATACCCTCCAGTCTTCTTGCTCAAGCCTCCCTCCCAGCTTTCCATCTCTCCCCACTCCATTGGCACGCAACTCCAGAAGCTCCCCAGAACCCCAGACAGGTCTAGGCCAAGGGGTCCAGGAGAGACAGGAGCACCCTGACACCCCAGGCCTTGGGGCACCTGGTCATCTCCTCTCCCTGCCCTCCTGAGGTCCTGCACCTGCCCCCCACACACAGGCTGCTCCCCACCAGGCCCCAGAAGGATCTTTAAGGTACTCAGAGCCGCCTCTGCACCTTTCATGAGGGGTCCCTAGAGGATACTAGGGGGCCCTCCCCCAGCCCCTCAGCAACTTAGCACCAAAAGCTCAGCACAGAGGGAGGCCTGGGGTAAAGGAGGCAGTAGCAAATGCATACACAAGCGTAAGGATGGGGTAAGGAGTGACAGGGGGGCAGTGGTTGGTCTCAGGGTGTGAAGGGCTGAGAGTGGGAAAATAGGGGAGACTGCCGGCACAAAACACACACAGTTTTATTTCTGCTGTGCTGGGGATGGAACCCAGGGCCACGTGCATGCAAGGTAAGTGCTCTCCCTTTGGACCCATAGCCTCAACTCTTTGGATTTTATGTGCTTGTCAATTTTATGTGCTGCTGATACCAGGATCTCTTGCTCTGCCACTTGAACCATGCCTCCAGCCCTGCTTTTTGCTGTTTTGTCAGTTATGGGGCTTGAACTCTTGGCCTGAGTGCTGTCCTTGAGCTCTTCAGCTCAAGGCAAGTACTCTACCACTTAAGCCACAGCATCACTTCCGGTTTTCTGGTGGCTTATTGGAGATAAGAGTCTCATGAACTTTCCTGCCTGGGCTGTCTTTGAACTGTGATCCTCAGATCTCAGCCTCCTGAGTAGCTAGGATTACAGGCACATGCCACGGGCACCCAGCTTATTTTATGTGTGAACCAGAGTCTTGTTTAAATTTGCCGGGGCTGGCCTCAAATCCTCCATCCTGCCTCTACCTCCTGAGCAGCTGGGACTACAAGTGCACATCATCATGCTTGGCCCCAGGTCTTTGGGTTGACAGCTGGAAGGGGAAAGTAGATGATGGAGGAGTAGGGGCGGTCAGTGGTGATGTCTTCATGTGGTGGGTGGTGGATGAGCCAAATGCACGAAGAGCTCCCTGGTGGAGGGGTGGCTCGGAGGAAGATGGTTCTGAGCCAGGAGCATGGCTGCCCATGGGGTGGGATCTAATAGATGCCCGCCACCCGCTGTCCCTCTGTGTCTGGGCTGCTGGGCCGCTGGGCCGCTGGGCCCTCTCGACTGTACCTGCTTGGCCAGATGCCTCCGCCTCTCCTCACTGGCCTCATCCCGGCCCTGCAGGTCGCGTTCATGCTGAGCTCTGAGGGCCTGCACAGTCACCTCCAGGCGCAGCTTGGCATCCTCAGCGGCCGTCAGCTCATCCTCTAGCTCTGTCACCTGCGTCCGCAGGTCGCTGGCCGCTTGCTCCGCCACCCTGCAGGTGCGCTCCAGCTCATGCACCTGGTAGGGAGGGGCGGGGACAGTGAGGGGGAGAGGGGGGCAGGGGGTGCCCCTAGGAAGAGGGGGAGGCAGCAAGCTCAGGTGCCTGTTCTTCAGTGTGTCTCATCCTAAATCATCCTAAAACAGCTCACAAAAGTCTGCATTGTACAGGGCAATCCATCATCAAGAAAAAAACAAAAACCCAAAATTACCATTTTTCCCCTACAACTTGAGCCATACCTCCAGAAATCTTAGAATTGTAGTACTCTGATCTCAAGCCCTCAGGGTCTTTTTTTGTGCCCTTACTGAGCCTTGAACTAGGGCCTGGGTGTTGTCCCTTAGCTTTTTCACTCAGGCTGGCGCTCTACCACTTGAGCTACAGTTACAGTTCTGGCTTTTTTTTTTTTTTTTTTTTTGTCAGTCGTGGGGCTTGAACTCTGGACTTGGGCGCTATCCCTCAGCTCTTCAGCTCAAGGCGAGTGCTCTACCACTAGAGCCACGGTGCCACTTCTGGTTTTCTAGTGGTTTATTGGAGATAAGAGTTTCATGGACTTTCCTGCCCGGGCTGGCTTTGAACTGTGATCCTCAGATCTCAGCCTCCTGAGTAGCTAGGATTACAGGCGTGAGCCACCTGTGCCTGGCTAGATAAGGGCTTTTGAACTTGTAAATCAATCATCTAAAACTGGTGAGTCTAGTCTGAGCATGCGCTACATCAGCTGACTTGCTCATGATGGCTTACTTCCTCTGAGTTTCCTGATTTCCCAGTGTGAGCTCACTTTTCCTGTGGCTTCATCTGTGGGAATGGTGTGTGGAAATGAATCAAAGTGAGAGCAATTGGTGCTTGTGGACGACCTACACACTGGGTATGTACACACCTCCCCCCCCCACAAACCCTGGTGTCTGGGGAGTGGGAGCCACTCACATTCTTGCCCACATCGTCCTTGCTACCCAGCAAGGCCTCCAGCTCAGCCCGCAGAGCCCGATTCTGCCGCTCCAGCTCCTCCCGCGCCTCCTGCTCCTCCTCCAGAGCCCGAGTCAGAGACAGAGCCCGGGCCTCGCGCTCCCGGCCCTCGGCCTCCACGCGCTCTCTGTCTTCCACCGCCCGCAGCACTGCAGCCTTTTCCTCTGCCAGGAGCTGGGGGGGGGGGGGGGGGAAGGTCAGGTGGGTCCCAGGGAGAGGGCAAGGAGAGACAGAAACACAGAGACAGAGAGAGACACAAGGACAGACAGACACACAAGGAGCCTGACAGGATGGCAGCCCTGGTGACATAGCAAGCCAGATCGGTTCCCAGATGAATGAAACCAACTAGTCCTTTGGACCATTTACCCTGCAGAGATCTTTCTTCCACTTTGGGTGTTGCTAAATGTACATGCACATATACACACACACACACACACACACACATCTATTGGTACTTCGTGGGGTTTGAACTCAGGGCCTTATGCTTGTCAAAGAGGCACTCTACCACTTGACACATGATCCCATTCCTTTTTTTCCAATAGAATCTTGGTTTTTGCCCACACCAGCCTGGACAGCAATCCTCCTATTTATATGCTTCCTCCACACCACCCCCATATCTAAAATGACAGGCACCCACCCCCATACCCAGCAACTGAGATGGGATCTTGTGAATACTCTGCTCATCCTGGCCTCAGTCACAATCCTCCGCTCTCCACATTCCTCAGAAGCTGGGATTATAGATGTGCAGCGCACACCTCGTCCCAACCTTTTCTGCATATATGCCAATCCCCTCAGGCATTTGCCAACAGTAAGGGAGAGCTGACTCACACATGCTGCTGATTCTCTCTTAACTCATCCTCAGGGCTGGCCCATTATGTGGCAGCATACCAACTTCCCAGATGGGTAAAGCAAGGCTAAGATGGGAAACACAAGTTCCCCAAGGAACCCAGCCAGTGAGCAAGGGTACAAGGGAGATGTGCTATTTCCTCGGCTGCTCATGGCACCCTGGGGGGACCACAGCAATCCAAATGAGGACACCTCCAAAGCAAGAGGGAAGCGTAAACCAGGGCACACTGGGCGGCCTAGTTTTAGGGGCCCAGGGGAAGCAGCAGCCAGCCTCCTTCTCCTCCACCACCACAGGTGACACCACAACATCACGACCCCTATGGCGGTAGGGGGAGGGGGAATTGGCTGAGCCAGCTCCTAGCTGGGTAAACTGAGGCACACACCTGGTCAAACTTGCGCTGTTTCTTCTCCAGTGAGCTCACAAGCTGCCGCTGCTGCTCCAAATCCATGATGGCGTCGTCCAGCTCCTGCTGCAGCCGGCGGCGGCCCCGCTCCAGGCGCTCAGCTGCCTCAGTCTTCTCTGCCAGGCGTTGAGCCAGGGTCTCAGCCTCCCTGGCGGCCCGGCGCCTCGCCTCCTCCCCTGCCTCCAGTGCCCCGGCCTCCTCTTCCTGGCGTTTCCGCCACTCTGAGAGCTTTGGTGGGGGGAAGCAAGGGGAGGAAGAAGGTCAGGGGAAAGTGACCAAGGTGTGAGCTGGTGGGGACCCATTTCCTAGGCTCCCCCAGGCTCTCCTGCTCAGAGTGGACATGGGTGGAGGTCTATGTACTGTGACTCCCCCTGGGAGACTCAAACCATGGTCAGCACCCGTAACTGACTCAGACTGGGGTCCTTCCTCAGGTCATCCCTCCCCAGTCTAAAGGAGAAACTGAGCCAGGGAGATGGAGGCTCCAGTAGAGCAAGTCTATACATAGTTTCAGCATCTCTTCTGAATATTCAGGAGAGTTCTTAGGGACGAAGACATCTGAGTATGGGTTTTGAAGCATGCACAGGAGTTGGCTAGTTGAAGGTTTGTCCCCCATAGTTCTATGTTGGGCTGTGCGAGGGCCCTAACTCTCCCCTAATCTAATTCTAGTGGAGACCTACTTTGTTCTATTTTGGGGGTTGGGTGATTTTTTTTTTTTTGAGACTAGATTTTGCTATGTAGCCCAGGCTGGGCCTGAACTGATGGAATTGCAGGTGTATGTCACTACGCCTGGCTTTGGAGCTCCACTTCAAGGGGTTTCACAGTCTGGTTGGAAGGTTAATGGCAGGCAGGGAGCTATGGAAGGGCGGTGGGCAGGGAGGGACAGGTCAGCTGTGGAGGACTATCCTCCAAGGTGGGGGGGGGGCTGGAGAGGAGAGCTGGGCGGGGCAAGGGACAGCAGGAGGATGGCGTCTGGCCCCAGTGGGTGGGAGCAGGACCATCTCTGAGCACTGAGCCCGGGCTCAGGAGGAGCAGCACGGGCCGCGTATCCCTGAGGGCATGTTCACTGCCCACCTGGGCCTGGGCGCTCTGCAGCTCCCGGCCCGCCCGCTCCCGGGCAGCCGCCTCTTCTTCCAGCTGCTCCCGCAGCCCTGCTGCCTCAGCCTCCATGGCTCGCACGCGGGACCCCAGAGCCAGTTTAGCCCTGGTTTCCTCCTGCAGCAGCTCCTGTGGGTAGAGGCCATGGCTCAGCACAGTGGAGCGGGGCCAGTGTGCGGGTGGGCGGGACTGGGAAGGTTGCAGGGGGTGGAGCCAGGGCCGGGAGGTGGGGCTTGGGTGGGGGCGGAGGCCAGTAGGACCGAGCAGAGCCCAGTGGAGCTTCACAGAGGGGCGTGGCTTTGGGGGGCGTGTCATTGGGCGTGGTTTGGGCGTGTGGGCAGGGTATTGGGTGTGGGTTGTCAGGTGCAGGAGGGTCTTTGCTGGGCGGACATTGGGCGTGGCTTTGGTGGGTGTGGGGCGTGGCCTAGCTGGGCGTGGCTGGGACTGGGCGTGGCTTTGCTGGGCAGGCATTGGGCGTGACCCTAGTGGGTGTGGAGTGGGGCTTCGCTGGGCGGGGCACTGGGCGTGGTTTGGCGGCGGGCAGGGCCAGTCGGTCACCTGGGCGTCGTGCAGCTGGGCCTCAGTGCTGCTCAGCTCCTTGGCCAGCCGGATGGCCTTAGATTCGGCCTCGCTGAGTGCGCCAGACACGTTCTCCAATTCAGCCTGCAGAGGTGGGACGAGGATGAAGCCCACCGAGGTGGCTCCCACCTGCTGACCCAGTGTCTCAGATCCCCACCGCACTCAGGCACAGAGGGGGCCGGAGGCTGCCCCGGGTGCGGGGCCTCCGCTGACCATGAGTTGCACGGGATCCGCGGCCACCCCAACAAGGAAGTACAGAAACAGCGACGCGGACCAGGTGCAGCAGATCCATCAGATCCAGACGGAAAACCCTGGTGCCTCACACCTGTAATCCCAGCTATTGGAGAGACTGAGGTCAGGAGGATACAGGCGGAAAAGTGATGCTCCTTACTCCCATCTCAACCAATAAAAGGGCGAACGTGGCCAGGCACAGGCTCATGCCTGTCATCCTAGCTGATCAGTAGGCTGAGATCTGAGGGTCACGGTTCGAAGCCAGCCTGGGCAGGAAAGTCCATGAGACTCTTATCTCCAGTAAACTACTCAGAAAAAGCAGGAAGTAGTGCTGTGGCTCAAATAGGAGAGCACCCGCCTAGCAAGCACCAGGCTCTGAGTGGTACCTCTCAGAGAGATGGAGGAGGGGGAAGCACAGTAGGTGTGGTAATTCACATCAATAATCACAGCCACTTGGAAAGAGTTAAGAGGATTGTGGGTTTGAGGCCAGACTGAACAGTTAGTAAGACCTTATTTTAAGGAAAAAGAAGACTGGGAATGGGAATGTGGCTTAGTGGAGTAGTTGCCTAGCGTGCAAGAAGCCCTGGATTCGATTCCTCAGTACCACATATGCAGAAAAAGCCAGAAGTGGAGCTGTGGTCGAGCACTAGCCTAGAGCAAAATGAAGCTCAGGGACAGTGTCCAGGCCCAGAGTTCAAGCTGCAGGACTAGCACCAAAAAAAGAAAAGAAAAGGCCTGGGGGTGGAGCTGAAATGATACATACAGCACTTCTTGCCCACTAATCAGAAGGTCTATCAAACGGAATGTTTTTAGAGGACAAGCTCACCAAATTATTAACTCATAGGAGCTGGAAGGGACCACGTGATCGGATTGAATCCCCAGAGATCCAGAGAGGGTGAGCATCTCATCCCAGGTCACACAGCAGAGCCTCCCCCCCCCCTGCCCAACACACATACATACACACACACAGGGCCTGCCACTCACCTGGGCTCGCTGCAGCTTCTCGGCAGCCTCAGCCCGGGCTCGCTCCCCATCACCAGCCCGGCCCTGCATCTCCTGCAGCTGGGACTCCAGGCGGCGCCTCTTCTGCTCACTCTCCTGCCGCACAGTCTGCAGGCTGCTCAGCTCCGTCCGCAGCTCAGACACCTCAGTCTCCAGGGTCAGGCGGGTTTTCTCCCATGCACCTTTGCCCTGTGGTGGCAGGGAGGTGAGCCAAGAGCTGGGTCCTGTCTTCCAGCAGTCCAGCACACTTCTGCCACAGGGCCTTTGCACTGGCTGCTCCCTCAAAGGGAGAACCCTCCCTTCCCGGCACATCTAGACACATGGCACAAACTCAACGCTGCTGAATGAAGGAGCTGGCCAAGAGTTTCCCCCACACACAGTGCCCCTCCCCTCCTCCGTGCCCACCCACCCTCCGGGCTTGTTCCAGCTGCTCCGCCAGCTCTCCCAGCGCCTGGCCGTGCCGCTGCCGCAGCTCCTGGATCGCCACCTCGTGAACCCGTGCTTCCTCTTCCAGAGCCTTCTTCAGCTCTGTCACCTCCTGCTCTCTCTTGGAGCTTATCATGGGAAAGAAAATGGGCCCAGGATTTCAGACAAGAGGAAAGGGGGACTTTGGGTTTAGGGAGGTGATATTGTGAAATTGTAGGGCTGGGGGGAGGACTGTGACTTTAAGGGTGAACTCCTACATGATTCAAAACCCTACTCAAAAGGCTCTTCTCAGGAAGACTTCCTGGATCTTTTCCCATAGACTTCAGTTCAAGATGTTGGCTTATTAACTGCAAATGGCCTGTTTCACTCCACTAAAATTCTCACTATTCTGGATTGGGGCTATCTTTGCTTAAATCTCCTTGTCCAAGCCATCAGGATGTCCTAGCGTGGCCACACAGCTGACTCATGCAGGCTGGTCCTGGAGCCCTTGCGTCTAGTCCCTGAGTGGGGGGCCGGGCCTCACCGCAACTCCTGCTGTGCATTGGTGGAGTCCAGCGTGTCCTCCAGCTCGCCCCGCAGCGCCTCCAGCTCCTCGCCCAGGTCTCGGCGCTGCTTCTCTGCCTTGGCCCTGGCCGCGCGCTCTGCCTCCAGGTCTTCCTGGGCCTCTGCCAGACCAGCCTGAACCTCCCGGAGGGATTTGACCAGTTGGGTCCGGGCCCCACTCTCCTCCTCGGCCCTGTAGGGGACGACAAGGACCACGGTTGGCATGGAGGCAGAGGGTGGGCCAAGATGGTTTTTCTGGGTCTAGAGAGGATGGAGGTGAGTTTACATGTGTGCCTATGGGGGCACACTGCTGTAATCCTACCTAGTTGGGAGGCTGAGGTAGGAGGATCGAGGTCTGAGGCAAGATGGAGGAAAAGCTTGAGACCTTATCTGATAAACAAATAGTAAGAGGCCAAAAACTGGGGTGATAATAGTTCTGATAAAAAAAAAAATAGCTGAGTGCTGGTGGTTCACACCTGTAATCCTAGCTACTCAGGAGGCTGAGATCTGAGGATCATGGTTCAAAGCCAGCCCGGGCAGGAAAGACCATGAGACTCCTATCTCCAATAAACCACCAGAAAACCTGAAGTGGTGCTGTAGCTCAAGTGGTAGAGCACTTGCCTTGAGCTGAAGAGCTGAGGGACAGCGTCCAAGCCCAGAGTTCAAGCCCCATGACCGACCAAAAAGAAAACAAAAACAAAAATAAACCACCCAGCGATCGGCTGGGAAGGTGGCTCAGTGGTAGAGTGCTTGCCTAGCATGCATGGGTTGGATTCCTCAGTAGCACATACACAGAAAAAGCTGGAAGTAGTACTGTGGCTCAAGTGGTAGAGTGTTAGCCTTGAGCAAAAGAAGCTCAGGGACATTGTTCAGGCCTGGGGTTCAAGCCCCAGAACTGGCAAAAACAAAGAACAAAAACAACAACAACAAAAAAACACCTGGCGCTTACCCTGGGGCCAGGCTGTGACCAAGGGATGGGCAAGAGCTTTCTTTCATGAACCGCAGGGCTCCTGCAAGTGCCCCCACTTTATAGAAGAGCAGCCAAGAGACACCAGAGTAGGGCTGGACGGGGAGGACGAGGCTCCCGCTAAGATGGACTCAAAAGGGTGACTGGTTGCACCTAAGGCCATGGGTTCTAGGACACATGCGCTTCCCTTTTCCTCCTCTGAAACGGAGCTGCGCCCGCCCATCCTCAAAGGCGTCTCAGACTGCACAAGTGCCCCATCTGGCCTTCAGTAGGGGCTCCCTAAGCGTGGGTGCATGCAATTATAAGGGAGGGGGTCAATCTGGAGGCGCCAGGCTGGAGAGGCGGGTGAAGGGGGTCCCCACTGCGGCCGGACAGAGGGCACGACCAGAGTGCTGGAGACTCGGGTCACGGGTCAGGTGTCCGGGGGGCACCTCCATGGGTGTTGGGTGGGGCCGGGGGAGGGCGTACTTGAGCAGGGCGGCCTGCAGCTCCTCCTCCTTGCGGCCCAGCTGCGCGCGCAGCTCCTCCGCCCGCTGCTGCTGCTCCAGCATCTGCTCCTGAAGCTCGGAGCTCTCCCCATCCAGCCGCCGCTTCAGCTTCTCCAGCTCTTGCCGCCCCTTCTCTTCCTTGCGCAGCCGGTCTGTGGGCAGGGGCAGTGGTGCGTGTGTGCGTGTGTGTGTGTGTGTGTGTGTGTGTGTGTGTGTGTGTGTGTGTGGCACCATCAGCCCCTCGCCCACTGCCCTCCTGCTCCTCCTCCTCCCTCTGACCCCAGCCCTGCCTCCTCCCTCTGACTCCAGCTCCCCTGCCATCTGGCAGGCAAGGACTCCTCCCCCCTCGAGTGCCCCCCCCACCAGAGCTAGCAAGGTCCACACAACCCCTCCCTCCCTCCTGCAAGGTCTGCACATACCCTCCATGTCTGCGATCGTGGCCTCATACTTGAGCCTCAGCTTGTTGAGACTCTTGATCTTCTCCTCCTCCTCAGCAGCCTGGGATGAGGACTCGGCCAGGCGCTCCTCCAGCAGACGCCGCTCCTGGCAGGGCAGGGGGAGGGAGGGCAGGGGTGAGCTGGTCAGGAGATGGTGCACAGGTCCAGGCACTGCCCCACACACCAGCCTCCCCCCTCCCACCAAGTCTCAGCCAGGGCAGCTGTGGATCCTACACTTCGCCCTCACACTGGGAGGATGCCTGTCATTTGTTTCTCCTTGGGGCTGGTTTGGGACTGTGATCCTCCTATTTCCACCTCCCAAGTAGCCAGAGTGGCAGGCACACACTCCATGCCCCAGCTTAGTAACTGACATGGAGTCTCACTGTTTGCCCAGGTGAGATTCAAACCTTGAGCCTCCCTTCTCTGGTCTTCCAACCAGCCGGGATCACAGGCATGCACTTCCACACCTGGCTGTATTTCCTCGTGGAGACAGGGTCTTGCTAACTTTGCCCAGAGGGGCCTCAAGCTCAGATCCTCCTGCCTCTGCCTCCCAAGGAGTTGGAATCAAACCCTCGTGCCACCACCCCTGCGCTGATAGATTTCTGGTCGGCATGGCCCTGCCCTCACCCGGAGGCGTGGCCTCGCATGGAGGCCACACCCACCATGCTCTGCTCTCAGCCCCCACCTTGCTTAGCTTGGTGTTCTGGTCCTCCAGGGCTAGCAAGTCCTCCTCAAACTTCTTCATCTTTGCCTCGGTGGTCACCTTCTCCAGCTGCAGCTTTTGCCGCGCCCCTTCCTCCGCCTCCAGGTGAGTCTCCAGCTCCTGCAGCGGGGAGAAGGGGAGAGGGAGGACCCACAGATTGCACCGATCTTGTGAGTCCGATGGACAAGGCTGGACAGGATCTTTCTGGGCTCCCTGGCTCATGCACTGGCTAGCAAGCACTTATTGAGTGCAAGCAGCAGCTGGGTCAGAATTCCTGTCTGCGGAAACGTCATAATTGGGGGTGCAGTGTGTGTGGTGCAGATCAGATATAACAAGCAAATGGCTCTATAGATCACCACAGTGATGCCAGCCATCAGGCAATTAAGCCGCCAGGAGCCTGTGCTGCTAGGCACACAGAGGCCTGCAATGGCCCAGCCAAGCGGCCTCCTATTCACTCTGCCTCTGCCACCTCCCCACCTGACCACAGGGCCAGGTGGGGCTTTGGCTGACAGGCCAGTATTGGCTAATCAGGAAGTCATTCAAATAAATGGACACAGCCAGTGGTCCACCCCACATCTGTCTCCAGAGCTGCTGCTCCCTCCCCCAAGATACTGGGGGTGGAACCCAGGGCCTGAAGTGTTACTTTCAAGACAGGTCCTCACTAACTTTGCTCAGGCTGGCTCCCAGCATGAGATCCTCCTACCTCTGCCTTTGGAGTAGCTGGGATTACAGGCAATCGCCACCACGCCCAACTTATGCACCAGACTGAAGGGGAACCAAATATGCCTGCAAAGGCAGCAGCACAGGGGCAGAGCAACGAGGACTGGAATGCCTAGATCCAGCTGTACCTGAAGCTTCACATTCTAGAGGCTCCAATATTTGAACAAATACAGGAGCACTTGAATTTCCTTTTGGCCCCGGCCCCTCCCATCTGAGTTTACTGTGCATTCACCACCCCAGAATACCTGATTGGTAGAAGCTGAGGGAGAAGGGGTACAGCAAGGGATCTGGGGAGGTGGCCTAAGATGGGGTCCCCGCATGGGGGGAGACAGGGACGAACCTGAATGTGCTGCTGCAGCCTCTTCTTCTCAGCCTGCAGCTGGCGGCTACATTCCTCCTCCTCCCCGACTCGGGCCTCCAGCTCGGTCACCACCAGCTCCAGCTCCTGCTTGCGGGCCGCCAGCCGTCCCCGCGTCTCCTCGGCCTCTGCACACAGCTCGGCCTCAGCTCGCAGCTGCTCGGCCAGGCGGGTGCGCTCCTCCTCCAGCTGCGGGGTGAGGCCTGGTCAGTGGGCACCTCCCAGGCCCTTCTTCCCTCCCCAGCCTCCTGTCAGTCCCCCGTGCTCTCCAGGTTCAGTCCTTCCTCCAGAGAAGCCCCCCAGGGGTCCTTTTCCTCTATCGCTGACTCTACCCCTATGTCCAGAAACCTAATCCAAATTATTCAGGGAAAAAAGCAACAGGACAATACTCAAGAAAGAGTCTGCCTTGGTATCATTATCATCAACATCAACATCATCACCACCACCATCATCATCATCACCATCATCATCACCATCATTATCATCACCATCATCATCACCATCATCATCACCATTATCAACATCATCACCATTATCACCATCACCATCATCACCATCACCACCACCACCACCATCATCATCATCATCATCATCATCATCATCTTTTCCATGAGGCAGTGTCTCACTATATAACCCAGCCTAGCCTCTAATGCAGGATTCTCCTGCCGGCCGCCTCCCAGGTGCTGGGATGCGCCCGAGCATTTCAAGATGATAAAATGTTGGAAACAGTTGGAAATCCACCACCCCCAGAACACAACCACACCCAGCAGGACCCTGCCCGGCGTGGTCCCCAAATCCCACCGTGCAGCTGCCTGGGCAACCTGGCTAGGCAGCCCGAATCCGCCCACCGCCAGCCCAAGGGCTGGGCTGGGCTCCATGGAGAGCCCCACCCACACTGACCCCGCCCACTCCGCCAAGCCACTCCCGCTTGCTTGGTTCTGCGCTGACCACGCCCCCATCCTAGCCCACCTAGCCCTGACTGCACCCTTCTCACCTAGACCACGCCCACGCGCTGCTGGCCCCGCCCCTCTAGCACAGACCACGCCCACCTCCCGCCCCTCACCTGTGTCACGCGGATCTGGAGCTCCCCCACTTCGCGGGCGCTCTGCTGTTGCAGCTCCTGCACTTTCTGCAGCTCCTGGGCGCGCGCCTGCAGCACCTCATCCTGCCGTGTCACCTGCAGCAGGGGCTTCACCTAGGGGAGGGGGGCGTGGTCGGTGGGAGGCGGGGCTGTCTGCGCATGCGCCTGTCACCTGGCTACTCCTCATCCTGTGCCTTCAGTGTAACAAACCGTCTTGGGAGCCCCACAGCCTCTGAGCGGTGCGAGTCCTCACTCAGCCCTGGTTCCGCAAGTCCCTTCCCAGGTCCGTGCAGACCAAGCGCCAGGGCCCGGTGATCGGTGATCGGCCGACTCCACGCTCCTGGGCCTCACCTTGATGAAGAGCCGCCACCACTGCCAGTTCCTGAGCTTGAGGTAGGCTGCGCAGTTCCTCTGCATCACCCGCAGAGCGCTCTGCTGCTGCTGACGCCTCTGGAAGGCCCTGGGGACAGGAGCAGGGGGCGTCACCCTCCCCGCCTGGCCCCAGCGGGCCACTTCTTTGGTTTGGTGCTGAGATAGAACCCAGGACCAGGCCTAACCTTCCCCTGCCTGCCCCTCCTGAGAAGTAGCTGGTATTACAGGGGTAAAGCACCATGCCCAACCTCTGAAGCCATTTTAATGGCTGGAATCTTCTTGTATCCTGAGATGGGTGTCTGCAGGGCCTTTGCACAAGCTCTCCTGCCACTCTCCTGCCTGGGTCATCTTTCCTTTGTGTAGCTGGTGCTTAGCTGTGACCAGGCTGCACAGGGCCTCTTCCCTGTCATCTCTTTGTCACCCTCTCCCCCTCCCCAAATTCCTGAGTTACCCCTGGCTTTCTCTGCCTTTGCACTAAGTTCCTACATCCTGGCAATCCTGGGCTCCATAGGACCAAGAAGCCCAGGTACCCTACAGCTCCCTCTGCCCTCTTGAAGGCCAGAGCCATCTGGTCAACCTCTCCCAGCTTTGGCCCCTAGCACCCCAGAAACATTACCTCACACATACCTGCGAGCCAGGTAGCCTCTAGCAGCTGCCTGGAATGACACGATGATGTCTGTGACCTTCAGGTCGCGTTCCTCTTCCAGCTGAGCCAGGACCCCCGCCCGGAAGAAGATTTTGCTCTGTCCCACGCGGTAGAGGTTGGGATCCAGTTCAAGGGCCTGGATCTGTGTTTGGGGGAGGGTTGGTTGGGGAGTAGGGGAGAGGAGGTCAGAGGTGGTGGTGATGGGGTGACGTGATGGGGGATAGCAAGGCTCCCTTCCTCTCTCTTTTCCCCCCACCCTCTCCTTTCCCCATCACTGAGGCTCTTGCGCATGCGCGCCTCAGGCCCTTCCTCCAAATTGGGGCTCCTGCGCATGCGCGCCCCAGGCCCTGCCTCCTCATTGGGGCTCTTGCACAAGCACACTGGACCCCATCCGCACGCACCATCTTCTCGCAGGCCTGCTTTCCATCCATGAAGCCCTTGGGGATGGCATTGGGCGTGAGGATCTCGTACCTGTGCGGGCCGGAGTCAGGGGGTTACCGGCGGGCTGTGGCACCCACGAATGGCCCAGGCTTCACAGGGAACCAAGGTGCAGAGTATCCCACTGCCACGGGTGTGTGTTTACGCGCGCAGGACTCAGGCCATGAACCCGGGGCCTGGGCGTGGTAACTGAGCTCTTTCCTTCCAGGTTGGCGCTCTACCCCTTGAGCCACACCTCTACTTCCGACTTTTTGCTAGTTCGTCGGCAAGAAGAGGTTCACAGACTTTTCTGCCCAGGTTGGATTCAAACCGAGACCCTCAGATCTCAGCCTCCTGAGGAGCTAGGATGACAAGCGTGGGCCCCAGCACCCGGCTTCTGCTTCCCTTTTTAAGCTGCACATTGCCGCAAAGTCAGGTGGGCTACAGCTCGTGGTTTGGGGGGGGGTGTCTATCACCCTGAAACTCAGCAGCAGCACGCGCAGGTGCCCTGAGCACTGGGAAGGTACAGGGAGGGGTTAGGGGGAAGGGAAGGAGAGAGGTGGAGGGGGAAGGGGTGCCCTTCACCCCCCCTTGCAGTGGAGCAAGGCAAGGCTCCCCAAGGCCAGCACATTGCCCTGCCCCCCACCCGACTCAGGCAGCGTGGGGGTGGGGGGCGTGACCCCAGGCTCCCTGCCGGCCCCGGGGGGGGTGGGGATCGTGGCCCCGGGGGGGGGGTGAAGATCGTGACCCCAGGTTTCCTCCCCACCCCAGCCCCGGGTGGGGAGGTGTGATTCCCGCCCCCCCTCCCCGCCGGCCCTGCCCGCGCTTCTCCTCACCGTTGCCGGAACTCCTGGAAGAGGATGCGGTTGGGGAAGCCCTGGCGGCAGATGCGGATCCCCTCCAGCACGCCGTTGCAGCGCAGCTGGTCCAGCACCAGCCGGGGCTCCAGCTTCCCGGCCTGCGGGGCGACACGCGGGATCAGCGCCGGCCACCAGGGGGCGCCGTGGCCCTTGCGGGTCAGCCTCGAACCCCGCGCCCAGCCCACCCAGCACCTGCTCCATGCCTGGAAAAGAGCCAGGCAGAAAGGCCCAGGTGCGGGGCTGAGTTTGCACGAGGTGTGTGTGTGGGGGGGGGGGAGGTAGTAGGGACTGGGCAGAAGAAGATGTGAACAAAGCCGGAGAGTGGTCTAGGCAGCTGAAAACAAGACACCCATGGTAGAAGTCTAGAGGAAAGAGAAACCCCTACAGTTCAACCCTGACCCTACTTCTGGAATGCTGAGGGGGGGGTATCTTAGCTGTGCACCCATGAGAATGGGGGATTCAGTCACCATAGCTCCTACACTCTGAGGAGAACAACACATTAGGCCACTCATGGGTTTGAATTTCCACCCTGCACCTTCTCTGTAGGTCTCGTTCCCTCATAATTCCAAGAAGAGAAGCCTGGTGGAAGTTACCTCCCTCCATTCCACGACGGTCCCTTGCATCCCATGTTCCCACCTACCACAGGGTCTTTGCACAACTTATTCTAGGCCTGGAATACCAAAATTCAGATGTCACCTCTTCCTGGGTGTCTTCCTGGATTTCCCTGACTAGCTCAAACTCTTATGTGTCATGTACTGCTCCTATAATTTTACTTGGACACGTGTCCCAGGTGGTTAGCTGAGTATCTGAGCTCCCTGGAAGTATTGCTCAAAGCCACAGAACCAGTTGAGGGTCCTGGGGTCCACTGTGACCCTGGTAGCCCCCTCCACCCTCCATCCATCTGTCCTGCCTCCCGGGGGCCCAGCCACTCACCCTCTTCTCATGGTTGGGGACGATGCAACGGACGAAGCTGGGGTTGGTGTTGCTCAGAGTGGCCATGAGGCGGCTCAGGGACTCCTTGTAGAGCTGCCCCACTGTCCGGAACATCCCGCGGCGAGGCCGGCCGCCAGGGGGGCCGTCCCCCAGGCTGCTCACCTGCTCCAGTCCGACGATGCCTTCCACTGAGGAGGTTGGGGGGGGAGGAGAGACGCAGAGAGAAGGGTCAGGGGTCAGATTTAGGGGGCCGGGACAGCCAGGGTCACGCCAGACAAGCGGGTCATGCCTCCAGGTCACATGTCCAGCCTCTTGGTGTATTATTTCATTTCTGAGAGGTTTCCCTAACTTTGTCTGGGCTGGCCTCGAACTTGTACACAATCCTCCTATATCGGCCCCAATCCGATTTCTCAGAGGAGGGAAGGGGAGTGGGGGGGGTCTAAGGACACAGCGGCTCCCTGGCTTGTGGGGCAGGCAGAGGTTCGAGCCACGCCCATACAGGCCCCACCCACAAACGGACCACCTTTCTGGACACTCACCCAAGGCCCTGCCCACTGCCATAGCCCCGCCCACAAACAGACCCCGCCCACTGCCGCTATGGTCATGCTACACATAGCACCACTCACCCACAAGCCCTGCCCACCTCCACTATGGGCACGCCCACAATACAGAGCATGCCCACGCTCTACAGCGCCACTCACTGGACACGCCCACTCCTGTAGGCCCCGCCCACGCCCATCTGGCACGCCCAGCCATGGACCATACAGCATCACTTACCCACAGGCCCCGCCTACCACCACTACGGGCATGCCAACCAACACAGCATGCCCACGCGCACTCTACAGCACCACTCCGTGGACACGCCCACTCCGGCAGGCCCCGCCCCCAGCTGCTCTGGACACGCCCACCCTTGGACCACAAGACCTGGCCCAGCAGAGCAAAGAGCCCTCACTTTGGCCATTTTCCACGAGGATCTGATTTCCAGGGACTCCACTTATTTGTTTATTTATTCTTTAAAATTCTTCTGCAGTTCTGGGGGGGGGGGACCGAGGACCTCGTGCCCGGTCAGTTAGCACTGCATCCCTTAAGCCATGCCCCGGCTTGCGTGGGCTTTTAAAACAGGGTTTGATTCAAAGACAAGCCTTTCTTTACTGGGAGAGTCTGGGAATGAGCAGGACCCAGAACGGAAGCAAGGAAGAGGAGAGAGGTGTGGGGCAGACATTCACACCCAGGTTCAGGTCACAGCCCCACCCCCCACCCCACCCTCGCCCCCCACCCCCACCCCGCCCCTTTGTTGGGCAGGCCTCACCGTGGATGCACACACACACACACCCCCTGGTGGAGACGGGGCAGAACTGCATCTCCCTGGAGATCCTGGGGACGAAGGCGGGAAGGAGCCCAGGGAAGCAAACTGCTGGAGGCCCCCATGTTCTGGGGAAGAAGGGCAGAAGGGGAGGTGGGGGAGATGCAGGGGAGATGGCGGCAGAGGAGAGATGTATGAAGAGAGGAAGGAGAGGAAATGACAGAAAGAAAAGGAGGAGAGGGTTATTCATAGCACAGAGGCAGGCAGGAGCTTGGATGTTAGCCAGGAGATTTCCAATTCCTGTTCACCTTTGTGTCAACTGCAAGAAATTCAGCACAAAAGACAGAAAAACATCCCTCCCTATATGCTGAGGCTGTATCTGTTTCATTAGGTATCCCTTTTTGCCCTGGCTGCCAGGAAGCTCAGCCACTAATTTTTTATTCTTTGTACCCTGCCGTTCAGTCCTCTGGTATGAACGACGTGCCTGACAAAAACCAAATTTCCCCTGGCTGTTTTCTGCTCGTGAACTCAAAGCATTCTAGTTCTTTGCTCTGTGCCTTCATCTTCCCAAGCCTGATGTGTCTCCAGGGATGCTTTTTTAGTTTGAGATCAAAACAAGCTGACCAATGATGAGAACGTGAAATTGGGAAAAAAAAACAAAAAACAAAAAAACCAAGGTGCTGACTCTGCCTGTTTGAAAGAGCATTTTAAAATATTCCCTTTCCAGATGGGGCTCAGACTGGGAGATGGTCAGGGCTCTGCCACGAGGGCATCTGCTTTCCTGCCTCTGCTCACCAGCAGCGAGCTGAGGGCCAAATTCTTCCCTTGGTGTGGCAGGAACACCGCCCAGCACTCCAGCCTCACGTTCCAGTCCTTCCCTGCAGGCGCGCTGGGGTTTGTGCCAAGAAGCACAGCCTGGAGGCTTAGTGGACCAGGGACATCGTGGCTCTAACATCCTTGTAATTAATCCCTTACCAGCAGAATAAGAATGTTTCTAATAACAAGGAGGAGGAGGAGGAGGAGGAGAGGGAGGAGGAGGAAGAGGAAAGAAATGCCCTTGCATGCCTACATATATCTTTTTTTTTTGTTTTTTTGTTTTTGTTTTTTTGGGTCTGGTCGTGGGGCCTGAACTCTGGGCCTGGGTGCTGTCCCTCAGCTCTTCAGCTCAAGGCTAGCGCTCTACCACTTGAGCCACAGCGCCACTTCCGGCTTTTTTTCTTTTTTTGCTTATGTGGTGCTGAGGAATCGAACCTAGCGCCTCTGGCATACAAGGCAAACGCTCTACCACTGAGCCAACTTCCCAGCCCCTTGCCTACATATATCTAAGAAGAACATGTTTCCTTCTTCCATTCGCAGACCTAAATATTCCACCTCAGCTGCATGACCCCTGTCTGCAGATTCTTCATCCATCTTCAACTAACTACCAATGGAAGATACTCAGCACCAAAACAAGTAAGTAAATCACTTCTACAACCAATCTCAGGCAGACAATATGATGCAATCTGGGGGATCCTGGAACTATTCTCCATGAACACTGAAGTAACACCATATGTATTTATTTTCCTGGTCTGATTGCATAGGCTACTATTGCAATAATAATAATAAAGCTAAAACTCTTGACTACCCATAGTTTCCAGTGGCCATCCTTGTCTGCTGTCTGATTATAAGATCCTCGGCTAGGGCACCAACCCTATCCATCTATTTGGGGGCCTGAGCCAGGCCAGGGGCTCCCCGGGCTCCAGGGAAGGGAACCCTCACCATCTTTCCAGATCTCAGCTGTGAGTCGGTCTGTGCTCTGGTGGAGCAGGGAGGCGACGCTGTCATTCAGGGGGTCCATGTTCTTCATCAGCCACTCGTTGGCCTTGTAGTCGACCTGAAAAGATCCGGGGTGGGAGGCTGATGAGATTTGCCTCCTTTCTTGTTCTCAGTGCTGGAACTCAGCCTGGAGTGGAGCGTCGGCGCCACCTTGTGTCCACACTCGGAATTGCGCCTCAACCGCAAGGCTGGGCCTCTCCAGGTCCTTCTACACCCCCCACCCCACCCCCCCCCACCCCCCACCCCCCCTCCCGGCAGGCACCTGGCACACAAGAGGTCTAGGGGATGACCCCAGCACCGAGTACACGGCCTCCTGGCCACACAAAAAGCCTATGTTGTTTCCTATTCCTCACATTTGCTGAAGGAGTGAAAAGTTGTCTAGTTCTTTGGTGAACTCCTACCCATCCCTTAGAGCCCCTTCTGCTGGTTTCCTCTGGGAGGTCTTGCCTCTTGGGCGCCCCAGCTGCTCCTTGTGGTGACTGGCTAGGCAGGCCCTGCTTTCCACCCACTCCTTCCCCTCGTCCCCACTCCTACCGCACCCAGGCTGCCCCCAGCTCCCTACCTTGCCCGCATAATGCAGGACACTAAAGTCGGCCTGGTCCCGCAGATGGCGGGGGGCGCTGGAACTTGGGGTGTCCGCCCTGCTCCTGGGCCACCTTCTCCACGAATGACTTGTCCGTGGCCTTGGGGAACCAGCACTCCTCATCCAGCAGGGCCAGGAGCCCAGGAGGGTTGGCCTGGGCACCCACGGGAAGGACAGTCAGTCCCGGTTCTGGACGCTCAGGACCCACCCCAGGAGGATACTCTGGATCCCCCTCCTGGGCCCCCGATCGCTTGCCTAGGGACCGGGACTGGGAAAAGGGCCCCAACTCCCAATTGAACCGGGCACTGGTCCCACAGTTGCTGGAGCAGCGAGGATGGAGGTGCATTGGAACTGGTGGGCAGGAGAAGGTGCACTAGAGGGTACTAGGGGGCAGGAGGGGGTGATTGGCACCCATGAGTGGAGCGAAGGGCAGGGTGAGAAAGGGGTGGGGCAGAGCCTGGGGAGCCTTTGGGGGAGCAGGCAGGCAGGGCTTGGTGGGGTGGTGGGTGGGGCCTGGATGGGAGAGCAGGCAGGCAGGGCTTGGTGGGGTGGTGGGTGGGGCCTGGATGGGGGAGCAGGCAGGCAGGGCTTGGTGGGGTGGTGGGTGGGGCCTGGATGGGGGAGCAGGCAGGCAGGGCTTGGTGGGGTGGTGGGTGGGGCCTGGATGGGGGAGCAGGCAGGCAGGGCTTGGTGGGGTGGTGGGTGGGGCCTGGATGGGGGAGCAGGCAGGCAGGGCTTGGTGGGGTGGTGGGTGGGGCCTGGATGGGGGAGCAGGCAGGCAGGGCTTGGTGGGGTGGTGGGTGGTGGGTGGGGCCTGGATGGGGGTGGGGCTTGACGTGGGGACAGGGCCTGGCAGCTGGGCAGAACCTGGCAGGGCAGGAAGGAGTGGCCATGATAAAGAGTGGGGGCGTGGCTTGTGGGAGGAGCCTGTCAGGGTAGAGCAGGTGGACAGGGCATCTAGGCAGTGCTTGGTGGGCAGGACAGAGGGGGAGTGTTGGGGGGAGCGAGTCTGGCAGTGGGCAAGATCTTGGTCGACAGGTCCTGGCAGTGGGCGGGGCCTTGCAATCGGTGGGGAGGGGCTCTTGTGGGCAGGATCTTGGTGGGTGGGCTGGGCAATGGGCGGGGCCTGGTAGTGGTAGTAGGCCGGGCCAGGGTCTTTATGGAGGGTGAGATAATGGTGGGAGTGGCTCTTGTGGTGAGCGTGGCCAGGGTAGGCCTGTGTCCATGGACAAGACTGGGCGGGGTTCTTGTAGTGGGCGGGATTTTGGTGGGCGGGGGCCAAGGGTCTTGTGGGTGGAATCTTAGTAGGGAGGGCCGGGTGGTGGGCGGGGCCAGGCTCCTGTGGGTGGGATCTCGGGTGGTGGGTGTGGCCAGGGGATGTGGTGGGCGGGATCTTGGGTGGTGGGCGGGGCCAGGCTCCTGTGGGCGGGATCCCGGCGGGCAGGGCCGGTGGGGCTCACCGGGCGCTCGATGAGGTCGATGCAGGGCTGCAGGTCCAGGCCAAAGTCCAGGAAGGTCCAGGCGATGCCCTCGCGCTGGTATTCCTCCTGCTCTAGCACGAACATGGTGTGGTTGAACAGCTGCTGCAGCTTCTCGTTCGTGTAGTTGATGCACAGCTGCTCGAAGGAGTTCAGCTGCGGGACAGAGAGGGCATGAGCGGGAGGACATTGCAGAGGACGTCGGGGAGGACCGTGGGGAGGACCACGGGGAGGATGTCGGGGAAGACGGCGGGGACAGACCTGGAAGATCTCGAAGCCAGCAATGTCCAGGATGCCCAGGAAGGAGGCGCCCTGGCGCGGGCTGCGGTCCAGGGCGCGGTTGAGCCGCAGGACCAGCCAGCGGAAGAGGCGCTCGTAGGTGGCTTTGGCCAGAGCCTCCAGCGCGAAGTCAGCCTGCGGGGAGATACGGGGTGTGGGCGAGGCCAGGGCCGGGCCTCGGGGTGGGGTGGGGTCTCCAGGCCTCCCGGGGGCCCCTCTGGCCTTGAGGATAAACGCCAAGCTGGCCATCGTGGACCCCCGGCCTTGCGTCCCCTTTGCAGCCTGGACGGCAGGGGTTCAAATCTCATCTCTGTCACTTGGAAGTCGTGTAACCCTCGGGTCCATAAACACACCTGTGCCTCAGTGTCTTCATCTCAAGTGGAGGACCAACACTTGCCTTCCAGATGAGTGGGGTGACTCCCAGCTCCTTACCTTCCAGTCTTTTCTTCCATCCTGGGACCCCAATGCTGAGCCCAGGACCAGCCGACAGGCCCGCCCAATGGCCAGAACTTCCTAGCCTGAGGTCACTCCTTCCTTTCATGCCTGTGATCTCGATCACCATTTCTTCCAGGCTAGGACTGCACTCCACCCCAGCCCACCTCTCCCTGTTGCAGTGGAGCCAACAGCCAAAGAGGTCTATATATAAAGAATATCGATCAAATTACCTAGATCCTAGCCTCCCAATGCCTCCAGGATGCAAATCACCTGCTTACTGTGGGCCTTTGGACCTTGCATGACCTGCCCTGCCTGACATCGCTGACCCTTAGGTCACCAAGCTTGCTCCAGCCTCAAGACCTTTGCACCTGCTGTTTCCTCTGCCTTGAACTTTGTCTTCTCCTAGAATCCATGGCTCCAGCATGCTTTCGGCCCCAGGAAAGCCTGGCCTTTGTTTTGCTCATTGCTTTCAGTCCCAGCCCCTTGACCAGGGCATGGAGGAGCTGGCACTCCTGTGCCTGCGCGCTGCCCACCATGCCTACCTGTTCCTTGGTCTGAGCCTTCTGCACGAAATCCCGGCCGACTTTGATGCGGGGTGTGAGCAGGGCACGGGAGAAGTCGGTCACCCCCAGACCCAGGAGGCGGCAGAGCTTCTGTGCAGCTGCGAGAAGGGCAGCAAGGTACAGTCAGCGCCCCCCAGTGGGCAGGACCACAGAGTGAGGGGCAGCCTTTAAAGCGTACATGTGCAGGATTGTGCATGTGCATGTTCTGTGCCCCAGTGGGAACCAGAGAAAAACTAGCCACAGAAAGAATCTGGCGGACTGGGAAGGTGGCTCAGTGGTAGAGCGCTTGCCTTGCATGCATGAGGCCCTGGGTTCGATTCCTCAGCACCACATAAGCAGAAAAAGCCGGAAGTGGCGCTGTGGCTCAAGTGGTAGAGCACTAGCCTTGAGCTGAAGAGCTGAGGGACAGCGCCCAGGCCCAGAGTTCAAGACCTATGAGTTCAAGACCCATGACCAATTAAAAAAAAAAAAAGAATCTAGCCGGGTGCCAGTGGCTCACACCTGCAATCCTAGCTACTCAGAAGGCTGAGATCTAAGGAGATTCTGCTTAGAACCAGAAAATCATCCCTACTTGATGCAGATCTGATCACAAGAACAGCAGGTGATGGTCCTGTACATGAGGCCAGCAGGCGCCCAATTCCCCTAAGATTTTTCCATGTTGCAGGTGAACCTGGAGGATTCCGGGTAGGAGGAGGCTGGCGGGGAGTGGGGTTTGCAGGGACCCCGTTACCTGTGTTGTCTGGCATGGTGGCCTGGTCCGTGTTCCGCTCTCTCTTCAAGACCACGTTCCCAAACTGGAGCACGGCCGACACGGTGCGCAGCATGGCTGTGGAGGGCAGGGATGGGTGGGGGTCACAGAGGCACAAGACCCTCCCCCCAATACTCAGCCCAACACCCTCGGGGGTCTTAAATAAGGGAAAGTGACTAGTGTATTGTGATCATTGTCATTGTGGTACTGAGATTTGAACTCAAGGCCTTGCACTTGCTGGGCAAGTGCACTACCACTTGAGCTGTGCCTCCAGCTCTTGTTTTGCTCTGGTTAGTTGTTGTTTTTGTCGGTCGTGGGGCTTGAACTCTAGGCCTGGGCACTGTCCCTCAGCTCTTCAGCTCAAGCCGAGCACTCTACCTCTTGAGCCACAGTGCCACTTCCGGTTTTCTGGTGGTTTATTAGCGATAAGAGTCTCACAGACTTTCCTACCCAGGCTGGCTTTGAACTGGGATTGTCAGCTCTCAGCCTTCTGAGTAGTGAGGATGACAGGCGTGAACTACTGGCACCCGGCTTCTGGTTAGTTCTGAGGTAAAGTCTCTCTCTTTGCTAAGCCCATGCTTAGATCTCCAGATTCCTATTTCTGCTCTCTCCCCCCCCCCCCCATAGCTGGGGTGTCAGGCATGCACCACTCTGCCAAGGTATTGGTCCAAATGTGGGGCTTGAAAACTGTTTGGCTAGGCTGGCCTTAAACTGTGATCCTCCTGATCTCATTGGCTTACAGGAGTGTGCCACAACTCAGCACTGATCCTCAAAGTAAAAGAGATGTCTCACAAAGCACAGGGCAAGGTTGCACCAAGAGCTCCCTGGCCCCACCCAGACTCCCCACCCTCAGGCGACTGGGCCGGCAGGCGGCACCACAGCATCCTGCCCCTCACAAACACTAGAGGGCGCCATCCACACAGGAACAAGACAAAAGCCTGCGGAACCCTGGTACCAAGAGTGCTACAAGGACAAAGGTCTGTGGAATGGGGCTGAAACAAAGGCATGGCCAGGCCACTGGGCAGAATGCCCAGGAAGGCACTTGGGGTGTAGACCATCGAAGAATCTAGGCAGTAGGTGAATTTGCCAATGCCAGGCCGTGAATAAAGAGCACAGTCTCCATTCTTCCTCCTTGCAGAGTTCTAGAAGGTGCGTGTAAGTGGGTCGTGTATCCAGCACCATGTGGATGACATAGTCATAGATGGTGAGACCCTCATCTCAACTAACAAGCCAGGTGTGGTGGCCATGTCTGTAATCCAGCTACACAAGAGGCGTAGGTGGGAGAATCAGGATCTGAGGCTGCCTCTGACAATAATAATAATAATAAAAGCAAAAAGAGCTAGGGAGAGCCGGGCGCTGGTGGCTCACGCCTGTAATCCTAGCTACTCAGGAGGCTGAGATCTGAGGATCATGGTTCAAAGCCAGCCCGGGCAGGAGAGACTGTGAGACTCCTATCTCCAATAAACCACCAGAAAACCAGAAGTGGCGCTGTAGCTCAAGTGGTAGAGCGCTCGGCTTGAGCTGAAGAGCTGAGGGACAGCGCCCAGGCCCAGAGTTCAAGCCCCACGACCGACAAAAAAAAAAAAAAAAGAAGAGTAAGGCCCTGAGTTCAAATCCCAGCACCACATGGCCCTCTGGACACACAATAATGCTTTGTCATTTTCTGAGACTATTTGCAGCTGTGTTCTGTGTGGTTGTTAGGGTGCGCAGGAGGCTGGGGTTGGTTTTGTTCAGAACTCACCCCAGGTTTGGGGGTATCAGGACTCCTTCCCCGCCCCCCCAGCAATATCCGCCTATCCTGTTTCTATCTCTCACTTCCCTGGCAATGCTACAGGTCAGAGGCCTTGAGGGCTGGAAGTCTACAACAATCTGTGCTGGGTAACCAGGGAAATAAACTCTGGCTTATTCTTAACCAACTACACCAAACTCCCAATAGGCAAGCCTCCCTGCAATCTCAAAATACACACAGGGAAACAGGCACAAGCCCAATGTGCTCAAGATGACCCAGTTCATCAACTGGGAGAGCTGGGGGCCCATCTGAGTTGGACCTTCAACAAGCAGCTCTTGTTCTGAGCATACATTTCTAACGTATACCATGCAAAGCAAGCAGAGTGTGGTGGTGCATGCTTGTAATCCCAGCTACTGGTAAGATAGAGATCTGGAGGATTGAGGCTCTAAACCAGCCAAGGAAAAAGACCTCATCTCAACAAATGAGCTGGGCATGGTGGGACATATCTGTAATCCCAGCTACTTCACAGGCAGAGAAAGGCAGATTGCAGTCCCAGCCCAGCCTGGACAAAAAGCAAGACTGTATCTGAAAATTAACTAACGCAAAAAGGGGTCACAGGCCCGGCTCCAGTGGTAGAGCTTCAAGGGACGGGTTCAAATCCTAGCACTGCTAAAAATGCATAGAAAAAGGGCAAACAACGGGCATCCGGCTTGCTGGAGGCTCTGAAGGGTCCTGAGCAGGGCCGCCCTGTGGAGGCAGAAACGGGGGGGGGGGGTGGGGGGGGGGGCCGGGGAGGAGGAAATGGGCACACTCTGGGACTCCAGTCAGGATTGCTTTGGGTGTGCTGGAGATGATGGCGAGGACCCCGGGGGAGCTCATCCTGGTGATGTTCCCCAGGCCACGCGTGCTTTCTAGTGTGCGGGAGCACAGAGGTGACTTGGAAAGTGTATGCGTGTATGCACGTGTCTTTCTTCTACCAAAACCACCAAGCTGGAATCTGACCTGGCGGAACACATACAAATGGAGATAAAACCAGCAGGCTGGCATCGCCAGTGGCACACGGCCGGGAACGGTGTTAGGACTGAAGGGGAGAAGAGAAATGTGGAATCCTAGACCGAAGAAGCACTGTGTGTGTGCAACTTGGGCAGGGGCTCCGGCCTGCAGGGCCAGCCCCTCCGGAGGCGGAGCATCCTGGGTGGGTGTGGCTTGGACCAGGGGCGGGGCACTCTTGTGTGGGCTGGTATGTCGGTGTGGGTGTGGCCAGGCTAGCCGTGACTTGGGTGGGCGTGGCTGAGAGGCAGGGCTTGACCAGACCAGTTCTGATAGGCACACCTGTATGGGCGTGGCCTAGATGGGTGTGATTAGGGTGGTGGGCCTGTAGCTGGGTGCGGGCGTGGTTTGGGAAGACTTCCGGTGGGCGTGTCTGGGGGCGTGGCCTGCCTAGCAAGCACCGAGCCTCTGGCGCCCATCACACCTGGCTCGCAGGTAGTTCGCCTCTGCTATGATTGGGCCACGGGGCGGGCCCCGCCGGTCTGGTCGCCCACAGAACAGCAGAAGCCCCCGCTCTGTCTGTTTTGCCCTGTGCCCAGTGAGGCCTGGCCCACCGAGTTGATTTACCAGAGAACCATCGTAAGGAATGCGTGGCGCGGTTATCAAGAGCGGGAGGGCGTTGAGCGGTGGTGGGGTTGGCGTCACCCCGGGTTTCCCTAGCTGGGCGGTGGGAGGGGCTGGGCACATTGGTCTCTGGTTGTGACCTCTCAGTGCTGGGGACACACAAGAACCCCAGGAATGCTGAGAGGCTTCTGGGAAGGTGGGTGCGTGGCCTGGGGAGACAACGCTGCCCCACCATGGACTCCAGGAGCATTTTTGGGGGGATGGGGAGGTGCTGGGCCAGGCAGGGGCAAGGCTGAACCCTGGGCTCAGCCACGATGGAGGGACAGCCAGCTACCCCAGGCCTCAGTGTTCCCCCCTGAGAAATGGGTACAATGGGTACAATCATGGCTGCTTTGGACCAGTCCTGCCCACAGCTGGTACTGGCCAGGTATAGATTTACATAAAATTAAAAGCGAGGCATGGGTGGCTCACGCCTGTCATCCTAGCTATTTAAGAGGTTGAGATCTGCCGGGCGCTGGTGGCTCACACCTGTAATCCTAGCTACTCAGGAGGCTGAGATCTGAGGATCGCGGTTCAAAGCCAGCCCGGGCAGGAGAGACTGTGAGACTCTTATCTCCAATAAACCACCAGAAAGCCGGAAGTGGCGCTGTAGCTCAAGTGGTAGAGCACTAGCCTTGAGCTGAAGAGCTGAGGGACAGCGCCCAGGCCCAGAGTTCAAGCCCCACGACCGACAAAAAAAAAAAAAAAAAGAGGTTGAGATCTGAGAATCACAGTTTGAAGTCAGCCTTAGGGAAGGAAAATTTGTGAGACTCTTATTTTCCAATTAATCAGCAAAAAAAAAAAAAAAAAAAAAGCCAGAAGTGGAGCTGTGGCTTAAGTGGTAGAGTTCCGTACTTGAGTGAAAAAATTGAAGGAGTGTGCATAGGCCTTAAGTTCCAGCCCTAGGACCAGCACCAAAAATAAATAAATAAATAAATAAACTTAAGCTAGGCATGGTAGTACATGGTAGTGCACGCCTATAATCCCAGCCAACTCAGGAGACAGGACTCAGGCTGGCCTTGAACTTGTGATTCTGCCTCCGCCTCCAAGAGCTGCAAAAGTTTTGTTTCCAAGGTGCAAAGACCAGCTGTGTTCTTTCCAGGTGGTGAGAGGGGCACAGGCTGGCAGGTCCCGGGGGACCAAGCAGGGCTGTGGCATGATCTGAATTTGTTTGTCCGTTGCTGGGCTATGGAGACAGGCAGGCTGGGGAATTACACAAGCAGGGTTGGGAAACCTGGCCAGGAAGTGAGGGGGGGGAACCCACCAAGATCCTGTGTCAATAACGCAAACACAGAGGCCTGGCCTTGGCCACCTGCTACCCAGCCAAGAGGGCACTCCATTCCAGCATTCCAGCTGCAGCCCCAAAGCCAACAATAGCTCCCAGGCCCTTGTACGGTGCCAGGGACCAGAGGAAAATCAGCCTCAAGGTGGGCCTGGTGCACCCTGGAAACACCTGAGGGGGGTCTCTTGGAGGACTTGGTTCAAAGACTGATAGTCCATCCAACATAGCCAGGCATCATAGCACATGCCTGTAATCCCAACACTCACGAGTCCCAGGCCAGCTGGGCTATATTGACAGATCCAGGATCTTGGGCTAGGAACAGGATTTCAGGTGCTGATACTCTGTGTCAATAGATGAAGAAAATAAAAATCCTAAACAGGGGCTGGGAAGGTGGCTCAGTGGTAGAGTGCTCACCTAGCATGCAGGAAGCCCTGGGTTCGATTCCTCAGTGCCACATACACAGAAAATGCTGGAAGTGGCACTGTGGCTCAAGTGGTAAAGTGCTAACCTTGAGCAAAAGAAGCTCAGGGACAATGCCCAGGCCCTGAGTTCAAGCCCAAGACTGGGAAAAAAATTTCCAAACAGAACTTTCTTGTAAAGTTATCCTTCAGGCCAGCACCTGGCTCCAGTCAGCCCAGGAAGGGTGGGGCTGGGAAGAGAAGACCTTACATCAACTAGAGCAAAAAGGTCTAGGAGAGTGGCTCAAGCAATAGATCACTTGCCTAGCAAGTGCTAAGCACTGAACTCAAACCCCAGTACTGCTAAATAAGTAACAACCATGATTCAGTTTGCCCCCTTCCCCCCCAGTTTGGGATGCTCAGCAAGGCCCAGTGTGGACCTGGGGTCATCCTCTCACCCTGGCTCCTGCAGCCCTCATCCACTCAGACTGAACTCACTCCAACGTGACCCATGTTTCCTGCCTCAGGACCTTTGCACATGCTGTTCCCGCTGCTCTTCCCAATGACCCCTATGTTCCATCTCTTGACCTGTTCCCCTCTAGTTTCCTCAGCCCTCATCACCCCTAGATCACAGAACAGCTTTGTTGTTCCCCCACCTCTTTCCCACAGCCCCAGGGCCTGTATACAACAGTCACTCAGTACATGATTGAGTGTGGAAGGCGTGGGGTCCCTGTGCCCACCCTGGCAGGTGGGGTTCACTCACAGGTGATCTCTTCGGGGGTGAAGCCCAGCACCCGCAGTGAAGCCAGGGTCTCCTGGAAGAGCTCCCGCTCCTGGCCGGGGGAGGACGCGGGCCCATTGGTGAGGAAGCGGTACTGGGAGCAGGGCTCCAGCAGGAGGTCGGCTGGGGTGGGAGGACAAGGGGTCAAGGTCAAAGGCCAGCATGAGGTCAAATATACGGAGGGGGGAGGAGGGAGGAGGAGGGGGAAGGGAGGACCAGGCCTGGCCCGGCCAGTGAGGCCTAGGGAACGGGACACAGAGGCCGTAGGTTGGACAGACAGAAGCCAGGAGCGTGGTGGAGGCTGGGGAGGCAGTGCGGGGCAGAGGACACGGAGGGAGAGCACCAGCCTCTGGCAGAAGCAAAGGGCAGAGCAGAGAGGCAGCATACAGGAGGACTGTCAGAGAAGGCGAGGCAGCGGAGGCCCGGCAGAGCTGGGGGGGCAGGAGGGGGTCACCCCAGAGGCCATGAGGGAGAGGAGGCCGGAGACCCGGAGCAGGAGCAGCAGCCACGGGAGACACGGAGCCAGGCAGGATGGAAGGGGCCGGAGGCAGCGGACAGCAGAGATCGGAGGCTGGAGGCTGGGGGGGCAGGCACAGTGAGAGCCACACACACCATGGTGCAAGAGCCAGGGCTGCCCTCCCCCCTCCCTCCCTCCCTCCCTCCCTCAGCTCCTGGCACCCTCCCCCTTTCCCTCTGCAGGGGCCCACACTGACCTTTGAGCTGCTCGCTGGCGCCCCCTAGCAGCTGGTAGAAGATGTGGAAGCTGCACTCATCCTTGGCCTGGCGGATCGCCCGGGACTTTTCCAGCAGGTCTTGGGATCAGGGAGTCAAGGAGCCAGCAGAGGCAAGAAAACCCCACGCAGCACCCCCCTCCATGGGGGGCACTGCTGTGTCTGCCCACCCCGTGATGGCTGGCTCAGATATGCAGCCTTGGCATGTTCACTTGGGACTTGGTTTCTCCATCTGCTTATGCCAGGTTGGGTGGTGCATGCCTGCAGTCCTGGCTGTGCGGGAGGCAGAGGGGGGAGGATTGAGGTCTGAGGCTACACTGGGACATAACTGCGTCCACCTCTCAGAGCCTTCCCGAAGCCTGGCACAGACTCTGGGAGGAGGGTTGGGGGGGGTCATTTCCAGTGTCCACGCAAGGACCACATTCCCACGCCCCCTTGAGGGCCCGGCGGCCACAGGTGGGGAGCGGATACAGGTCTCAATGTTGGCGCCCACAATGTATCCAGCAACGTCAAAGTTGATGCGGATGAATTTGCCCTGAAAGACAACAGCCAGAGTTTGGGGGAGCCCTGGAGCCCCCAGACCTACACCATGCCCACAGCCCCGCTGTCCCGGGCTTCTGACTCTCAACACCCAACCTCACAGGCCTGCACATGTTACGTCCCAGGCTCCTTGGACCTCTGTCCTCAGGAGGCCCAGCCTCCTCCCTCAGACCCAGGGGGCCAGACCCCAGCCTTCTCCCTCAGACCCGGAGGTCCAGACCCTAGCCCCCCATGCCAAGTCCTCATCCCTGACCCCCAGCTGCAGGCCCAGCACTCACAAATCTCGAGGAGTTGTCGTTCTTCACTGTCTTGGCATTGCCGAAGGCCTCCAGAATGGGGTTGGCCTGAAGCAGCTGCCGCTCCAACTCCCCCTGCAGGGCATAGAGACAGGGAGGTCAGGGAAGGGAGGCTGGGGTGGAGAGATCGGGGATGGGGAGGTCTGAGACAGGAGGGGAGGTTGGGAGGGGAGGTGGGGCAGGGGAGTGGGGAGGGGAGGTAGGGAAAGGAGGGAGGGAGGGGGAGGAGGGGAGGGGAGGGGAGAAAGAAGGATGGGAAGGGGAGGGGAAGGGAGGGAGGGGAGGAGAGGCCCCACAGCAGTGCCCAGCTGGCACTGTCTGCATGGGAGGCGCCTTGAGGGGGAGGATGCCCACATCCGGCCTCGTCTATTATGAGGGAAACAGGGAAATGTCTGCAAGACTATTAACTGGAAACAAAACCAAAGGACACAAAACACGAGCTGCAGCGGGGCGCAGCACCATGCCGGCAGCGCAGCCTGCGGACAGAACTGATTCCCAGAGAGAGGGATCTGCGCAGGCGCCGGCAGGGGCCAGGCCTGGGGCTCAGGGTGCTTTCACCTCGGCTCTCCTCTACCCATCAATGGCAGTGGGAGCCCAGGCTGCGACCGCATGGTAGGCCCTCCCTAGAGCACACAGTAGGGCTGCCATGAGGACTGCTTATGAAGACTAAAGTGCAGTCATGGACCTGCGCATATGCACAGAGTAGGGCTGCCCTGAACTGCATGTGCATAGTAGGGCTAACCGAGCAGCCTATGTGTGCACACACTGCCGGGGACAGCAGTGGGGCATTTTAGCCATGTGCACATAGTAGGGCTGCACTTGATGAGAGCACAGCCCTGGTGCACTGCGCACACAGTAGGTCCACCAGGAGCAGCACTGCGGGTCCCTGGCCGTGTGCACACGGGAGGACCACATCCGGTGGCAGCACAGCCCTAGTGTGGTGTGCACACAGTAGGTCCACCGGAAGCAGCCCTGTTGGGTGTCTGGCTGGGTGAGTGGAGATGACTTCCTGCTACTCACATAGGACATGGTGCTGACGGAGGTCTGAGGAAGTCAGAACACGGACACGGACCAGGACACGGACCAGGACACGGCACATGGAACATGGACAGACACAGTGAAGGGGGGCAGGGCACGGGCCGGGGCGGGCCTGCGAGGCCTCAGGTCTGGGCTCCCTGGGGACCCTCCCCCTCCCCACCTGGGCCTGGGCAGCAGTGATGGGGGGTGCACAGCCCCAGGAAGAGTGATGTTATGGATGGCAGGGCCCCGGTGTCCCAAAGCTGGGTAACTTACGGGGACGCCCGGCTCCTTCCTGCCCTTGGGCGAGGATGCCACATGGGCCAGGTACTGGATGACCTTCTTGGTGTTCTCTGTCTTGCCAGCCCCAGACTCCCCGCTACGGGGGGGAACAAGGCGCCAGGTAAGCCCCTGCCCTGCCCCTTCCAGAGCTGCGCCCAGCCTCTGCCTCCAGGAAGTCCTCCGAGATTACTCACGTGCAGAGAATGGACTGGTCCTCACGATCTGAAGGGGACAGAGTGGGGACATGTCACCTGTCGGCGTCTCTCAAGCAGAGCACCTTGCAAGATCCTTCTGGGGTCATTTAGCTAAATGACACTTCCAGATTCTAACACAACACCCCAATTAAACCTCCAAATATTATAGCTGTTAATTATGTAACTTTGTGTGTGTGTGTGTGTGTGTGTGTGTGTGTGTGTGTGTGTATGTGTGTGTGCTGGTCCTGGGGCTTGAACTCAGGGCCTGGGCACTGTCCCTGAGCTTTGTTTTGCTCAGGGCTGCCGCTCTACCACTTGAGCCACAGTACCACCTCCAGCTTTTCTTGAGTGGTTTACTGGAGATAAGAGTCCCATGGACTTTCCTGCCCATGCTGGCTTTGAACTATGATCCTCATATCTCAGCCTCCTAAGGAGCTGGGATTACAGGTGTGAGCACGGGTGCCCGGCTCCCCTTGTGTAACTTTGCCAGGGTTGGCTCGCACATTATAAGGTCTGGGGCAGCTCCTCCGCAGTGTGTAACTTCAACAACAGCCTTGGTCTGTGTCCCATGCAGGCCCCTGGAGGCCAGAAGCCTCCCCCACCCCCCCCCCCCAAGTCCTGCAGCGCCCAGCCCATGCTCACCTTGCAGCATGCTCCGGTATGCGCCCTCGGTCACGGCGTAGACGTGGGGTGGGACCTCATGGCGCTTCTTGCCCCGGTACATCTCCACGATGGCCTCGGTGTAGATGGGGAGCTGCTTGTAGGGGTTGATGACCACACAGAACAGGCCAGAGTACGTCTGTGCCAATGAGAGGGGAGTGGGCCTCAGCTGCGCAGCATGAGGGCCACACATGGCAGGGCGGGCTATGCACCATACAGGCTCCACACAGCCACACATGCATTTAAATGTCTGGCAGGAAGAGTTTGGGAGCTAAAGAGAGGAAAGCAAGCTGGGCACTGCGTCTCACGCCTGCCATCCTAGCTACTCAGGAGGCTGAGATCTGAGAATCGTGTTTCAAAGCCAGCCAGGGCAGGAAAGTCCATGAGACTCTGATCTCCAGTGAGCCACTGGAAGTGGCACTGTGGCTCAAGTGGTAGGGTGCCCTCCTTGAGCTGAAGAGCTGAGAGACAGCACCCAGGCCCAGAGTTCAGGCCCCATGACTGACACACAAAAAAAAAGACAGGAAGCATCAAATGTGCTGCATGTGACCCATACCAGACTCTGCAGAAGGACCTGATCCCGGGCCACCTCACTAAAAAGGGACCTGAGAGGGTTTTCTGGTCACCTTGGTTTCCTGGAATGCCTCTGGAGACTGCTTAGGGGCTCTGCAGGAGCCTGGGCACCTGCCTACAGCTCAGACACACTGAGGCCCTACTGTGTGTATATGTGTGTGCGCACCTGCGTACATGCCCTGACACTGGGACTTGAACTCAGGGCCTAGGCACTGTCCTATGCCTTTTTTTTTGGGGGGGGGGGTCCGGTTGTGGGGCCTGAACTCTGGGCCTGGGCGTTGTCCCTCAGCTCTTCAGCTCAAGGCTAGTGCTCTACCACTTGAGCCACAGCACCACTTCCAGCTTTTTTTTCTTTTTGCTTATGTGGTGCTGAGGAATCGAACCCAGGGCCTCATGCATGCAAGGCAAGCACTCTACGATTGAGCCAAATTCCCAGCCCCTGTCCTGTGGCTTTTTAACTTAAGACTGGGGCTCTACCACTTACACTACATTTCTGATCCTGACTTTTTAGAGATAAGAGTCTTATGGACTTTCTTGCCCAGGCTGGCTTCAAACCCCGATCCTGAGATCTCAGCCTCCTGAGTAGCTAGGATGACAAGGTGAGACACCAGTTACCTGGCTGGCATGATATTTTTGAGATTAAAAATCTCAGTGTAGGGCTGGGAAGGTGGCTCAGTGGTAGAGCGCTTGCCTTGCATGCCTGAGGCCCTGGGTTCGATTCCTCAGCACCACATAAGCAAAAAGAAAAAAGCCGGAAGTAGTGCTGTGGCTCAAGTGGTAGAGCACTAGCCTTCAGCTGAAGAGCTGAGGGACAGCGCCCAGGCCCAGAGTTCAGGCCCACGAACGGAACCAAAAAAAAAAAAAACAAAAATCCCAGTGTACTCCAAGCTGGCCTCAAAGTTTCAATCTTCCTTCGTGGTTAAGATTACATGCGTGCCACACCATGCCTGGAATTACACTCATTGAAGGAAATGCTGAACTTCGGGTTACAAGCATGTGAAAATGAAGCTTTTTGTGTCGTTCTTGTTGTTGCATTAATTTCCAGGGTCCCTCAGATTCTGTTCACACAGCTGTGAGGATTGGATTTGTGACTCTGTCACCATTTAAGAACTAGTCGCAGGCTGGGCGCTGCTAGCTCACACCTGTAATCCTAGCTACGCAGGAGGCCAGCCCAGGCAGAAAAGTTGTCATGAAATTTATCGCCACCAGAAAACTGGAAGTGACACTGTGGCTTAAGTGGTAGAGTGGCAACCTTTAGCAAAAAAGCTCAATGCCCAGTCCCTGAGTTCAAGCCTCATGACTGATTTAAAAAAGAAAAAATAAAATAAGAGAAAGAGCCAATCGGACTCAAAAGGGAGGCAGTCACATAGCAAAGGAAGATGCTAGCAGGAGCTAGGTGGGTATACTAGCCAAAAAGTTCGGTGCTTCTTGGCTCGCCTAGTTAAGTACTTAACCATTCATTATGAAGCCAGTAAGCCATTTACTTAATTAACTCATTAGCTAGTTGGTAGTTGGCTACTGTATACTCCAGACAAGCCAAGTACAGTGAGTCATGCCTAGAATCCCAGCTGCTTGGGAGGCAGAGGTGAGGAGGATCATGGGTCAAGGCCAACGTGGACTAAAAGTTAGTGAGGCTCCATCTTAGTATATAAACTGAGTATGGTGGGACAGGCCTATTATCTGAGTTACTTAGGAGACATAGGAAAGAGGATCTGAGTCTAGTTGAGTCCATGCAAACATGTGAGGCCCTCTCTTAAAAAAAAAAATGGAAGAGGCTGGGAAGGTGGCTCAGTGGTAGAGCACTTGCCTTGCATGCATGAGGCCCTGGGTTCGATTCCTCAGCACCACATAAGCAAAAAGAAAATAAAAGCCAGAAGTGGTGCTGTGGCTCAAGTGGTAGAGTGCTAGCCTTGAGCTGAAGAGCTGAGGGATAGCACCCAGGCCCAGAGTTCAGGTTCCACAACTGGACCCCCCCCCCCCAAAAAAAAAATGGAAAGAGCTGGGAAGGTGGCTCAGTGGTAGAGTGCTTGCCTTGCATGCATGAGGCCCTGGGTTCAATTCCTCAGCACCACATAAGCAGAGAAAGCCGGAAGTGGGGCTGACACTCAAGTGGTAGAGTGCTAGCCTTCAGCTGAAGAGCTGAGGGACAGCGCCCAGGCCCAGAGTTCAGGCCCCACAACAGACCAAAAAAAAAAAAAAAAGAAAGAAAGAAAAGAAAATAGAAAAAGCCAAGTACCAGTGGCTCACACCTGTCATCCTAGCTACTCAGGAGGCTGAGATCTAAGGATCATGGTTCAAAGCCAGCCCAGGGAAGGAAAGTCTGTGAGACGTTTATCTCCAATGAACCACCAGAAAACGGGAAGTGGCACAGTGGCTCAAGTGGTAGAGCGCTCGCCTTGAGCTGAAGAGCTGAGGGACCTTCCTAGGCTAGCACAAGGCAAGGAAGGAAGGAAGGAAGGAAGGAAGGAAGGAAGGAAGGAAGGAAGGAAGGAAGGAAGGAGACAGTCAGACCGAGGCAGGGCGCGGCTCCGCTTCTTGGGCTTCAGCTTCTAACAGGTGGCGTGGGGCCGACAGGAGCAGCAGGACCGGTTTTCCGGGTGTCTGCCTGCGCCTCTCAACCGGAGGGTGGGGTGCCCGGACCGCATTCCCTGCCGGGGTATCTCATGGCTGCTGGCGCCCAGGCCCCTGCTCCTGGCTGGACGGGGCACCCCCTCCACAGGCACCCCCAGGCCAGCCACACCCGCTTCCCAGGGCCGAAACCCGAGCCAGTCAAGAAAGGGGGGCAGCTTGGTACAGAGAAGGTTGGGGGACAACGGAGTTGCTGGGGTAACCATGGCAGAAGCCGGGCTGGAATGATCTGGAAGGGCTGCCCGCCCGCCAACCCCCTCCCCAGGCTCCAGCAGGGACTGAGCCCCCTCTTTACAAAGGCGGGGAGGATTAAGGAAGAGAAAGGGTGGAAAGCAAGCAGGCCAAGGCGGGGCCCCAACACTGAAATGTGGGCCACCTGGGACCAAAGCCATGCCAGCCCGCCAGCCCAGCATGGAGGCCCGACAGGGCGTTCGCCGGCTGTGGGGGCCCGGGCAGAAAGGATGTGCTTTCTTGGAGCCTCAGTTCCCAGCAATACCGCCTAGAAGGGCTTAGAAGTACCAAGAGCCAGGAGGGACTCCCTGAAAAGACAGAAGTCCTCAGCAATTTGGGGTACGGGAGGGGGGACTGACATTGAATTTCCTTGAGCTGAGCAATTCGACCCACAGGACCAGCAGTTGATCAATCAACAAACCCAGGGTGGCTGGGGCCCCCAAAACCCAGCATGCGCTTAACGCTTAAGGCATCAGCCATGATAGCGGCTGGAGTAACCCCAACCTGACAGCCCTGCGAAGATGTGAGAGAAAGAGGCCATGAGGGATGGGACCCAAGGAAGCAGGTGACCATAAAGTTCTACTCATCATTACTGGGGCCTAATTTGCTTTGCTTCCTGTCTCAGCTTCTAGAATCTTCTCTCTCTCTCTCTCTCTCTCTCTCTCTCTCTGTCTGTCTTGCCCCCTCCCTCCCTCTCTCTTTCTGAGGCCTCAGTTCACTGGCTCTCTTGCTTCAGCAGCTAGTATCTTATGTTTTCTGAATAATCTTCCTAGTGCTGTGCTAAGGTCCTGGGGTCTGGAGTCAGGCTAGCCTGGGTTCAAATCCAGTCGGGTCATATTCCTAGCTGTGTGACTTTGTCCAAAGCCTGTTCAAGCTCAGTTCCTCCACCTGCAGAACACATAAGAGTGGGCACCCTGCCTGGCAGCTACATACATTCAAAAGTTTATTAAAAAACTAAAGGATGCTGGGCGCCAGTGGCTTACACCTGTAATCCTATGTACTCAAGAGGCTGAGATGTGAGGATCGCAGTTCAAAGCCAGCCTGCGCAGGAAAGTCTGTGAGACTCTTATCTCCAATAAAACACCAGAAAACCAGAAATGGTGCTGTGGCTCAAAGTGGCAGAGTGCTAGCCTTGAGTAAAAAAGTTCAGGGACAGCTGGGCACCAGTGGCTCATGCCTGTAATCCTAGCTACTAAGGAGGCTAAGATCTGAGGATCAAGGTTCAAAGCCAGCCGGGCAGGAAAGTCTGTGAGACTCTGATCTCCAATGAACCACTAGAAAACTGGAAGTTTAGCTGTGGCTCAAGTGGTAGAGCGCTCGCCTTGAGCTGAAGAGCTGAGGGACAGCGCCCAGGCCCAGAGTTCAAGCCCCACAACTGACAAGAAAGAAAGAAAGAAAAGGAAAAAGGTGGCCAAGTGTTGGGGTGCCACTCTGGTCTCTTCGGACCTGGGCTGGGGCTCAGGCAAGAAGCTTCTTTCCTGCAGCCACTGCAGCCTGGAAAGGGGGTGACCCCATCTAGGAGCAGACAGCCCTGAGTACAAATCACATTTCTGATACCACAAGCCAAGTGACCCCCAAATCAACCCATCACACCTGGGCAGGCAGGTCTGGACAGACTCCCAATGTGCAGCCTGACCTGCTGTTTGGGCCTCACTCAGGCCCCTGCGCACTCCACATTCCTGGATGGCAGGTGGCCTCCACAGACCCCGGCGTCTAGGTGAAAGTGAAGCGCTCAGCATGGCGCCCAGCACAACTTGAGAGCTCAGTAAATATTTGCCGGCCACTTTTCCTCATCTCCACTGTTAAGGCTGGCATTCCTGGCCAATTCCTCTAACCCTGCATCTTGCCCATTAAAGCCACCCTGGACACTTATTTAAAATAAATAAAAAATAAAATAATTCACGTCACTCCCTTCCCTAAGCAACCCCCCCATACACACACACACACACACACACACACACACGCGCACACACACACACACACACACACACACACACACACACACACACATACACACACACACTGCCCGCTTGGTTTCTGAGGTAAGGTGTCAGAATCTTTTGGAATCCCCAGATGACGCAAGCCAGGTCTGAGAATACCTGGCCGCTCCCATCTCTTGGTACTAATGATTTAATACTGAGCAGACCGCAGGTGATGAATGCAGAGGTGAACAGACCACCTCAATCAATCCTGCTATCATCAACTCCATCTTACTTTTCTTTTTCTTTTCTTTTTTATTTTTTAATCTATTTTTTGTTTTTGGTCCGGTCGTGGGGCCTGAATTCTGGGCCTGGGTGCTGTCCCTCAGCTCTTCAGCTCAAGGCTAGCGCTCTACCACTTGAGCCACAGCGCCACTTCTGGCTTCTTTCTTTTTGCTTATGTGGTACTGAGCAATCGAACCCAGGGCCTTATGCATGCAAGGCAAGCGCTCTACCACTGAGCCACCTTCTCAGCCCCTATTTTTTGCTTTTTTTGAGACAGCATCTCCCTAGGCAACTCAGGTTGTCCTACACCTCTTGCTCCTCCTGCCTTGGCCTCCCAAGTGCTAGGATTGCAGTTGTACACCACCATACCTGGCTATTCTCATCTTACCTTTCTTTTCTTTTCTTTTCTTTGTCGGTCATGGGGTTTGAACTCTGAGCCTGGGCGCTGTCCCTCAGCTCTTCAGCTCAAGACTAGTGCTCTATCGCTTGAACCACAGCACCACTTCCGGTTTTCTAGTGGTTTATTGGAGATAGGAGTCTCACAGACCTTCCTACCCTGGCTGGCTTTGAACTGTGATCCTCAGATCTCAGCCTCCTGAGTAGCTAGGATGACAGGCATAAGCCACCGGCACCTGGCCTGTCTCACCTTTCTTTAAGCCTATACCCTGACTACCTGAGTGTGCCAGTTCTCAGTGATGCCCTTGTCCCAGGTGACCATTTCTTGATCTGTGAAACGACATCACTCTCTTCCTTTGCAGTACTAGAGTCTGAACTCAGGGCTCTGTGCTCACTAGGCAAGCACGCCACCACTTGAGCCAGAATCCAAGTTCTCAATTATTTATTTATTTTGTTGATCATGGACTTGAACTCTGGGCCTAGGCCCTGTCCCTCAGCTCTTCAGCCCAAGGCCAGTGCTCTACCACTTGAGCCACAGCACCACTTCCAGTTTTCTGGTGATTAATTGGAGATCAGAGTCGCATGGACTTTCCTGCCCAGGCTGGCTTTGAACCTTGATTTTCAGATCTCAGCCTCCTGAGTAGCTAGGATTACAGGCATGAGCTGCCAGCGCTGGCTTCAAATGTTTTATAATGGTAGTTAGGTGGTGCCAGTGACTCACACCTGTAATTCACTGAGGAGGCTGAGATCTGGAGGATCATAAGTTCAAAGCCAGCCCAGATAGGAGAATCCACAAAACTCCATCTCTAATGAACTAGCAAACAAACAAACAAACACACAAAGGTGTTTGAAGTATGGTTCAAGTGGTAGAGCTTATAAGTCACTGAGTTCAAGCCCCAGGCTTGGGGGAGGGAGAGAGTTTTTCCTAGCAGGGCACGGGTAGCTCACACCTGTAATCCTTGCTACTCAGGAGGCTGAGATCTGAGGATCACAGTTCAAAGTGACCCTGGGCAGGAAAGTCTGTGAGACTCTTATCTCCAATAAACCACCAAAAGACCGGAAGTGGTGCTGTGGCTTAAGTGGTAGAGCAATCGTCTTGTGCTGAAGAGCTGAGGGACAGGGACCAGGCCCAGAGTTCAAGCCCCAGGACTGACAAAAACCAAAAAACAATTTTTCTAATTAAATATTTGCTGAGTCAACGTCCTGGAACGTGTGATGTTGGCATGTCAGATTCTTTGTTACCCCTCTGGGCCTTGGGGCCTTCTGCACATAAAAATGAAGATCCTAAACAGATTCCGCTCTGTCTGAGGCCATGGGATGAATAGACAGAGTTTGTGTCATTTCCTATGCTTGTCCATTGACATTAATTAGGATGACAGATAACACCAACTACATGGGGTGCTGATGTGGCCATTTAGAAGGCAGCCCGGGGTGGCAGGGCCCCGGGGGGGCTGTGGCAGGGACACTCACATAGATGAGCCCGGAGTAGTAGCGCTCGCGCAGGTTGTGCAGCACGGAAGCCTCGTTGAGACAGGTCAGCTCAGCCATGTCCTCTGCCTTGCTGAACTTGGGTGGGTTCATTCGCTGGATCTGGTCCCTGGGCAGCCGCAGCCGCCGGCCGCTCTCAGCCAGCTCCACCTCAGCCTCCTCCTCACCCTCATCGCGCAGTGCCGCCGCCTCGAACCCGTGAAGCTCCGAGGGCACCCACACCAGGCGCCGCGCAGTCCACTCCACCTGCGGGCCGCCCCCCGCCGTCGGTCCCCCCGAGCCCCCACTGCGAGGCGCAAACAGGAATGGCTGGGCCGCCTCGGGCACTGGGCCCGGCCTGGGGGGCGCCTTCCGCCCGGGCACCGACAGGGTCACTGCTGCCATGGTCTGCTGAGAGAGAGAAGGTGTGTCAGGAGCGGGCAGCCTCTGTCCACCCGCATCGCCCTGTGCATCTGCACAACCTGAGCTCAGAGGCCATAACTCCCTCCAGCCCTGCCCCTCACCTATCCACCACCATCCTCCCACCCTCCACCCACCATCCACTATCTACACACCATCTACTCACCGTCCTCCCACCATCTTCCCATCCTCCACCCACCATCCACCCATCATCCACCCACCATCCACCCACTGCCCTCCCACCATCCTTCCATCCTCCACCTATCATCCATCTTCCACCCACCATCCAGCCATCACCCATCACCCATCCATCATCCATCCATCCACCCACCATCTACCCATCCAACCATCATCCATCAATCATCCACCCTCTATCCATCCATCCATCATCCACCCTCCATCCATCCATCATCCATCCAAACATCATCCACTCATCCACTATCCGTCACCCACTCAAAAGCCATCCACCCATCCATTCATCCATCCATCATCCACCCACCTATCATCCATCCATCCACCCATCTGCCCATCTACCCTTTCATCCCTCCCTCTGTCCATCTACCCTCCATCTATCCACCCCAGCCACACATTGATCCACTAATCACTCAGTCCATCATTCCATTCCCTCACCCATCTACCCATTCGTTCATACATTCTGCAACTTAGCTAGGGGTGCTGACCCTGGTGCAGAATCCCAACTCCTCAGGAGGTTGGGGCAGGATAGAGAATTCCAAACTAGCCTGAGCAGAGGGAGGGAGACCCCGTCTCAAAGCCAGAATACCTGTGATCTTAGCTACTTGGAAGGCTGAGAACAGAGGATGGAAGTTGGAGGCCAGGCATGGCAGAAAAGGAGGTCAGCCAGCCTACGGACCCTAATGGTCTTCCTTTCTGTGCAACTGTGTGTGTGTGTGTGTGAGTGTGTACACATACTGGAGCTTAAACTAGGAGTTGAGCTTTTTTTTTTTTTTTTTGCTCAAGGCTGGTGCTCTACCACTTAAGCCGCAGCTCCACTTCCAGTTTCTTTGGTAGTCAGTTGGAGATGAGAATCGCTTGAACCAGACACTGGTGGCTCACACCTGTAATCCTAGCTACTCAGGAGACTGAGAACTGAGGGTGGTGGTTCGAAGCCAGCCTGGGCAGGAAACTCTGTAAGACTCTGATCTCTAATTAACCACCAGAAAACCAGAAGTAGAGCTGTGGCTCAACATGAAAAACTCAGCAACAGTGCAAAGGCCCTGAGTTCAAGCCCCATTACTGACAAAAAAAAAAAGTCTTTTGGACTTTTCTGCTCCAGCTGACTTTGAATTGTGATCCTCAGATCTCAGCCTTCTGAGTAGCTGGGATCACAGGTGTGAGCCATGGTACCCGGCTCATTGATATTTTTTATATTCAGAGCCAATGAAATCAATCTGTTTGGGATTTACTGGATGAAAAATCATTCAAATATTCTGTTGGTTTTTCAGCATGGCTTCTAGAAAAATTTAAATGCACATTTGGCTTGTGTTCTATTTATGTTAGACAGTATGCTCTAACCCTGGGAGACAGATAAAAAGATAAGTAAACTGAAGAGGATGTCATATGGCAAGAAATACCAATAAAATCAATCCAAGCAAGGGAGGGGAATGTTAGGACTCAGGGGGTACTAAGGTTTTATTGGGGTGGCCAGGGAGGGAATCTCATCATACAGCACTTTTACATAACAACCTGGTAGAGTGGAAGAGAGAAAACCACAGGGGTGCCAGAAGGAAAAGCACTCTAGATGCCTGTGCAAAGGCCCCGGGGCAGGAATGTGCCTCCTGGTTTGGCACTGAGAACCTTGCAGGTGTGTGGTGGTGAGGAGGAGGGTGGTAGGTGAGGTATAAAGGACACTCTTTTGCCTGTAACCCCAAGGAACTCCTGAGGGGGACCTGACTCTTATCTGAGATCTTTTAAGAGAGTCTGGAACCTGGGACATGGGCCACACCTCACCCTCCAGGGACCACAGACACAGAACCCAGCAATTACCAGGCCACCTGGGAAAAGTCAGGGAAAGTTGCTGCGTGGGGCTTCTCTACTTGAGAGGCAAGCCCTCAGAGTCCCCAAGGCTGCCCCAGTCCCCTTGGCTGCTGGCCAAGGATCACCCCAGGCCTCATGTGACCTCAAAACACCCAGAATGAGCCCCATCCCCCGGACTTTATCCCCCGCTTCCTACCCAGCCCTGTGGCCTTTGACCAGGAAGCACTTAAAAATTTTTGCAATCACCCAGCCTTACACCTCCCTGCAGCAAGGGGGTGGGGGAGCCTGCGGTGTCCAGCCTGCTCCCTCAGACCCCAGCCTCCTTCCTCAGATCCAGGGGTCCAGGCCAGCCTCTTCCTCTCCCCGCTGCCCTGCCCTCTTGGACAGCATGTGTGGGGTTCTGGGTGGCCCAAGCCAGAGCCTGGCACTCTGCTTCCCGCCCCAGCTCAGGCAGCGCAGAGACAGGGCCAAGCTCATTACTGTCCCCAGGCAGGTGAGAGCACTGCCCTGGGAGGGACGCTGCCCAGGTGAAAGGGAAAAGGAGCCAGGGATCCGCCCCTGGGCAGGGGTTGGTGCTGCTGGCATCCAGCCTCTGACCTGGGCTTTCTGCTGACACCCAGGCGTCCTGCCCAGCCTCCTCCCTTAGACCCAGGGGTCCAGACCCTAGCCTCCTCCCTCAGAATCAGGGATCCAGACCCCAGCCTCCCTCAGACCCAGAGGTCTAGACCCCAGCTTCCTCCCTCAGACCCAGGGGTCTGGACCCCAGCCTCCTCCCTCAGACTCAGGGATCTAGGCTCCAGCCTCCCTCAGACTCAGGGGTCCAGACCCCAGCCTCCTCCTCAGACTCAGGGATCCAGACCCCAGCCTCCTCCCTCAGACCCAGAGGTCCAGACCCCAGCCCCCTCCCTCAGACCCAGGGGTCCAGACCCCAGACTCCTCCCTCAGACTCAGGGATCTAGGTTCCAGCCTCCCTCAGACTCAGGGATCCAGACCCCAGCCTCCTCCCTCAGACCCAGGGGTCCAGACCTCAGCCTCCCTCCTCAGACCCAGGGGTCCAGACCTCAGCCTCCCTCCTCAGACCCAGGGGTCCAGACTCAGCTTCCTCCCACAGACACAAGGATCCACCTAGCCTCCTCCCTCAGACACAAGGATCCAGACCTCAGCCTCCTCCCTCAGACACAGGGATCTAGCCCTCAGCCTCTTCCCTCAGACCCAGGGGTCCAGACCCCAGCCTCCTCCCTCAGACCCACGGGCCCAGGCCTCAACTTTCCTCCTTCAGACACAAGGATGGAGGTCCCAGCTCTCCTTCAGACCCCAGGGTTTGGACTCTAGCCCTCAGCTCCGGGCTCAGGAGCGCGGCCTCGCGGCTCTGTCCTTGGGCTGACTAGGCTGCTGGGTCCCCACCCCGCCCCCCCATGCAGGAGCCCACAGCCCAAGCCCCATCCCCCCAGGACCGCGCGCGCGCCTCTGCGGCCACCCACCGTCCTCCCGGCCCGGGCCCTGGGCACTACCTGGGGGTGCCGTCCGGAGCGGGAGTCGGGGAGGGGGCGCGGGGATCCCCGTCCTTTTCCAAGCACCCAGGTGCGGCCACCTCTGCGGTCCAGCGCGGGGCGGGGCCTGGCGCGCCGCCGGGCGGGGCTGGGCGCTGACGTCAGCCTGCACCTGCGGGCCAGGGGGCGGGGCTCTCCCGAGGCGGAGCCGGGCAGGGGCGGGGCCAGGCCGGGAGGCAAGAGCCCGGGAACGCTTTCTACCTGCCCCCCCCCCCCCCCCCCCGACACACACACACACACACACTCTGTGATGGGCAAAGGTCAAGGCCCCGGACCAGAGGCCCCAGGATTCCCGCGATTTGAATCCCGCTCCGGCTTTCTGGACCTCAATTTTAAACCCCTCTGGGAATTGCGGCGCAGGCGATTAATAAAACACGGTGGAGAAAGGGGTCCGGCCCAGCGCCTCGTCTCTTAGTCCTTCTGTGCCTCCGTTTCCCCCACCCTGAAAGTAAAGTCATGCAATCCACAGAAAGCACCCAAGAAGACGACAACATGTTATTCTGGACTTCTGGACTTGTATCTCCCGGGGACTGAGAAGAGCACCGAGCGTCCCCACGTGTCGGCTGGTTTGTTGTGGTTGTGGTTGTTGTTTGGTACCGTCTTGGAGCTGGAACTTGGCGCCTGGGCGCTGTCCCTGAGCTTTTCACGCGAGGCTGGCGTTCTACCACTTCAGCCACAGCTCCACTTGTGGCTTTTTGCTAGCTAACTGGAGGTAAGAATCTTACGGATTTTCGAACCGCCATCCTCAGATCTCAGCCTCCTGAGTAGCTGGGATTACAGGCGTGAGCACTGGCGCCGGGCTGTGCCCAGTTGCTTTTGTGCTCGCTGAAAACAGCCCTTCGTATATGATAGGATGATTTTAATCGGCCCCCCTCACACCCCCGCCAGAGCACGGCTCCATTCCTCTGATGGGGAAACCGAGGCACGGAGAGGTGAAGAGATGTTCTCAAGACTCATAGTGAAGGCTATGCAGAGCTCAAGGCCCTGAGTTCAAATCCCGGGCACTCTCCCTGACACACCCAGCCCTGCAGCCACCTCTGCTCTGTAAAATGGGTACACTGAGAATCCACCTGGATTTCAGTCATGAACTGGACAGCGCCAGGGCCCAGGGATCGCAGTCGTCCCCTCACCTCTGCCCCCCCCCCGGGGGTCACGACCAGAGAAACCGGACTCAGTATGACCCCGGGGGCGGGGGCCTGGGGCAATGACTCAGGTAATAAATCGTTCCAGGGCCCAAAGGCAGTTTCAGTTTCCCCGTGTCGAATACTCCCGCGACGCCAGCGAGGCCCCCGACCCGGCCCCGCACACAGTAGGAACTCGGGCACACAGTGGGAACTCGGGTGCTGGGGTGCCGACCCCACTCCCCCGCCGCCGTCCCGCCGGGCCCCAAGGTGAGCGTCCGCGTCACTGCCCTTCCCTGGTGGCCGCCGAGGCCCGGACCGCAGTCCCCCGGCTCCACTGCCCTGGACTGAGCCCCTTCGGCCACCCCCCCTGCCCCGGCGGGCTGCGGGCGCCCCCCGCGCACTCACCGGCTACCGGGCTGTCCTGAGGCTGCGGCCTGAGGAGAACGAGGGGTGGGCCCTCCGTGACAGCCCCGCCCCCACGAGCACAGCGCGAGCCAATCAGCGCCCGCTGCGGCAAGCTGTAACCCCGCCCCACGGGGGGCAAGCAAGAGCCAATCAAGAAACGCGGCAAGTGGACAAGGCCAATCAGAAGTTCGCCGAAGGGTGCCAGCCGTGGGAAAAGGAGCCGTCCCGAGGGAGGCGCGGCAGGCGGTGCGCTTGTGGGTGGGACCCGAGTCCTGATGGGCAGCGAGTGTGACCAATGAGGAGGCGCGGAGACCGACCGGGGTCCGGAGGCCTAAGGGCCCGGGTGAATGGGCTGCTTTGTGCGCCGGGCATGAATGGGGGCCTTTGTGCCGCCGGCGTGGGGCGCAGGGGGGCCCGAGGCCGGAATGCCTGTTTCCCCCGGGAGCTGGAAGGGCAGGAGACGCGGAGGGAGAAGCAGTCCGATCTTAGGCTCCCACCCACCCGGGAGGGGTGGGCGGCGATGCCGCCTCACGGGTCAGACTCTTCGGCCCTTGCCCCAGCGCCACGGGCCTGGGATTATCCCGGGCGGCGGACGCCTCGGAGCTGAGGATCTGGAAACGTCTAGATCTGAACTCAGATCCTGGGTTTGTGGGGAGGGGACAGAAAGACACCCCAAGGTTGTGGAACGAAGGCTGTCCTGGACCCCGGTAGTCCTTGATACTGTGGCTGTGAAAACAACCTACAGACGGGGTAGCTCACGCCTGCAGTCTTACTCAGGTGGCTGAGATAGTGGGGGGGGGGGGGGATCGTGGTTTGAGGGTAGCTGGCAAGGGAAAAAGGCCGGCAAGATCCCATCTTAACCGAAGAGAGCTGAGTGTAGCGGTACACACGCCTGTCATCCCAGCTATGAGGGGAGGCATAGAGTTAAGCGGATTGAGATCCGGGCCTTCCCTTCACCCTACTGCCAGTATAAACACCAGACCCTGTTCTAACTATAACGAAAGCCAGAGGGGCTGGGGGCGTGGCTCACGTGGCAGAGCGCCTGCGGGAGGCCCCGCATTCATCCCAGCCCGCAGAATTTCCTATAGGCGCCTATAGCCTAGCCAGAATCTGCCTGGTAACTGGTGATGTTATCAACCCATTCTGTGCTAAATCTGCCTGGCAACAAGTGACGTCATCGTTCACACCAACTACCAAAGCTGCCTGAAGAAATTTGGTATTCTGTGGTCTATGGGGAAGCTGAAGACATCAACATCATCATCATCATCACCATTATTATTATTGTTGTTGTTGTTGTTGTCGGTCATGGAGGCTCAAACTCAGGGCCTGGTCACTGTCCCTGAGCTTCTTTATGCTCAAGGCTAGCACTCTACCATATGAGCCACAGCTCCATTTCAGTCTTTTTCTGTGTATGTGGTACTGAGGAATCGAACCCAGGGCTTCGTACATACTAAACAAGCACTCCACCACATTCCCAGCCTCCACTCCCAGTTTGGGGTGGTTAATTGGAGATAAGAGTCTCATGGACTTTCCTGTCTAGGCTGGCTTCCAACCACCATCCTTAGATCTCAGCTTCCTGAGTAGCTAGGATTACAGGCGTGAGCCACCAGTGCCTGGCAAAGGCCTGAGGGCATTATTAATAAAAATGTGCTTCCTTCTCCTCAGGATTTCTTTTGTTTTTGCAATACTGGAGGTTGTGTGTTTTTATGTTGATTATTTTAAAGTTGGAATCTCACTTTACACCTGAGTTGGCCTGGACCTTGATCCTCCTCTCCGCACTTCCCTTTGTTGGTAGGAGTACAAGTGTTGACCACCATTCCCAAGCATTGACTGACATGGAGTCTTCAGAACTTCTATGCCCAGGCTGGCCTCAAACTACCATCTGCTGAGCTCTTACTCCCAAGTAGCTAGGATTACAGGCTTGAGCCACTGTGTCTGGCCTTGCTGAGGGTGTTCTGTGGTCTAGATGCCTATGCTAAGCTATACCTGAACAAACGTTCTTATTTCTTGAGCATTTACACAGTTCTATCCCTATTTCTCACCCCTATTTACAGGTAGGTAAAGTGAGGCACAGCTGCCCATGTTTGCACATTCCCAAAGTGGCAGGGCCTGGATTTGAACCCCCAGAGTCTAGCTCCCCATGATTGAGGACCATTTCTGAGTGAGTTAACAAAATTTCAGGAGCAGTTTGGTTGGAAGGGAGGAGGGAGTCTGGGTTTTGAGGGTGCCGAGTGTCTGTGGTCCTGTCTGTAAAACTGCCAGGGCATTCTCTCTGTGGCAAAGGCATGAATGGCTCCAAGATTTTATTTTTGGCCACTGGACTGCTGTTCTGGTGCATGTGATGTGGTCTGGCTCAGAGACAAGTGCAAGCTGGCAGCCCTGCCCTGGGTCACAGACAAGGAACAGACTCCTTCCGGTATTTATTTATTGTGTGCCTACTGTGTTCTGGGTCTTCTAGACCAAAGGGTCAGTGAAAGTTGCTTAAAACCGATGGACAAGCCAGACACAGATGCTCACACCTTAGTTCTAGCTACTTCTCCAGCTGCACTTTAAGATTAGACCAGAGCTATAGCTAACACTTCTCATTTCAGCCCTGTTCCAGCGTGGAGAATCAAAACTGCTGTCTTTATTGGTTTACGTTTCAATGAAAAGAGTTTTAGCGCGGTAGGGTGGGACAGAACTGTAATCCCAGCCATCAGAAGGTAGAGACAGGTGGATTGTGAATCCAAAGCCAGCCTCATGAGACCTGATATCCGAAAAAGAACAAACAGAACAAAGTCATTTTTCATTTGGCAAAAATGGGGGAAAATATCCACTTTATCCATCTCATGTCACCAACTTGGATAATAGTTTGGTGAGGTTTTTTAATTTGTATTAAGTATTTATCATCTTTTCAAGAGAGTGCTAATTATAGCCACCCTTTATTGGGAGATTTTATGTAGTGGCACTGTTTTAAATATTTTATACCTGGGGACTCATTCGGGACATACAACACACAGACAGGTGCTGCTGACAGTCTCCCCTGGCAGGCAAAGAAATGGAGGATCCAGATGCATTTCCGGTTGTGCACCTGGCTCAGCCTGGCTGAGATGAGGACCTGTCTTTGGGGCTTCAGCCTCAGCCTTCAGCACCATGTTTAGAAAAATGGTTCCCTGCCCCAGAGGTGCCAATGGAGCAGAGCTCCGGGAGACCCCCGACAATCTGCAATTTATCAAATTCCCATATTCTGTGGTTTGACCTTCATCACAATGCACGTTGCCATTTTTATTGTATTTATTTACTTATTTATCTAGCACCCAGGCCAGGTCATCTGGCTAGGCCATTGCTCTGCCTTTTGAGCCAAATCCCCCCAATACACACACACACACACACACACACACACACACGCGCGCGCACGCACACACACACACACCAGCCACCAGCCACCACCATGGCCTGGGAAATCTGGAGGCAGGTGATGACTTCCCGAGAAAGCCCCGCCCACACGAACACATGAATGTAAATGAGCTGTAGGGAGAGGTA